AATCCCTTATAAGCCATTTGCAGAGCTTACGATAGACTTTATTATAGGCCTTCTACCTACTAAACGTAGGGGTAGTAAGGACATCTTCGATGCTATCCTTATTATAGTAGATCGGTTTACTAAAGGCGCTCGATACATCCCGGTACGGAAGGATTAGACTGCTATTAATATAGTAGAGGCTCTATAGAGCAATATCTTCTATACCTATTAGGGGACCCCTAAGGGGATAGTCTCTAACCGGGGCACGATATTTACATCCTATTATTAGAGCGAGATATGCCTATAGCTAAGACTAAAGCATCGGCTATTAACAGCCTTCTATCTATAGACTAACAGTTAAACAGAGAGGCAGAATGCTACCCTATAGTAGTACTTACGTAGTTACATTAACGAGAACCCTAACGACTAGGTCAACCTCCTATAGCCTATAGAATTCGTATATAATAACAGTGTATACTTATCTACTAAGGTTTCGCTATATATAGCTATAATGGGTTAGAACGCTGCTATGCTACAAGACCCCCTACCGCTCGAGGCCGAGCGTAAGGAAAGGGAAGCGCGTCAAGTACCCGAAATACTAGCGGCTATTAAGAGGGTTCAAAAGATGCGAGAGATTTACGCTAAGTTAGCTAACAAACTAGCAAAGGCCTAGGCATATTAGAAGGCCTACTATAACAAACACTATACGCTAATAACTTTCAAGCAAGGCGACATAGTTATGCTAAGCACTAAGAACCTCCGTATCCGCAAACACCTATTACCTAACGGCAAAACAAGGCCTAAGCTCGCACTAAGATACATTAGTCTATTCCGCATTCGAGAAGTTAAGGGCTCCTCCGTATAGGCTTATTAGTTATAGCTTCCTCCTTATTACACTATCTATAATACCTTCTATATATCCCTCCTTAAGCTATATTACCTGCGCGAGGGGGATGAAGCCCCTACTAAACACGAAGACATACTAGCGGATAGTGAAGAGCTATAGTCTATAGAACGTATCCTAAAGCACCGGACTAGGCAAGGCAAGAAGGAGTACCTACTAAGATAGCAAGGCTATTTACTAGAATAGGACTTATAGGAAGCTAAAGACTCCTTTAAGGACATAACCGAGTTGTTAGATAAGTATTAGACTAGCATAAAGAACAAGAAGAAGGCTAAAAGCTTATAATGTTACTACTAAGGCCTAGGATTAATGCTACCCTCGGGGTACTATTAGCTAACTAATTAGAAGCAAGCAATTGTTAGCAACAAAGGATAATAAGACTATACTACTATAGTAAACGCGTACTAAGTGTCAACAAGCGCGCTACGACGCGTTAACTAATTGCCTACTCTTTTAAGGATTCTACCTCTTTACTAACGCGCCCTATAGGTCCCCCTCTTGTTCTCTTATTCCGTCGAGGCCTCGAGGCCTAGGCAATCGGCGCGGCCGGCGTAGCCGGCGCGGCTATATTAGTAATAGTATTGCGGGTATATTACTGTTTAAAAAAGGAAGGACACTGCTATATTAGTAACGGTATTGCCGAGTTGTTATTAGTTAAAGGAGGTAAAGTTAGCGCTAAGACGACTAGCGCTACTATTGTCAATATTACTTGCTATTGTCGCTGCGCCTATAGACACAACCTTACCTATACTACGAGCCTAAGGCACCTTTAATTAAAACTTTAATTAAAGCTTAAGCCTATTAAAGGTTTGATTAAAAACTTTGAGGCTAAGTCAAAACTTTAACTAAGTTAAAAGATTAAGCGACTAATAGACTAACTAAGGGCAAAACTATAGAGCTAAGCTAGCTAGGGTCGATCTTGCGGATAATAGGTTACTCCTCGATCTATCTAACTCTTTAAGCGAGGCGAACCTCTACTACTACACTTATAATAGCCTTTATTTATAGAAACCAGACGAGCTGTATTTTTTGAAAAGATAAGATAAGATTAATACTTAAAGGCTGCTAAACCTAGCTAATTAGGGCTAGCGAAACTACGAATAATAAGAACAACCCTCGGAACGGACAAACCCTCGGAGCGGACATTTCTAGGTCTTTTAGAGTAGACGCAGAGAACTCGGTACGATATCACTTAGAGCGGAGGCAGGGCTGTAATACCTCGTACGTCTACCTATTATAGTAGGGAAGACGCGCTTGTATTATAATTAGTCGAAGGCCCTTAATTCTCGTAGATATATATTACTTTATTATATATAAGAATAGCGCAGTTAGAGTTGCACGTTGTATTGTGTTAGAAGTAAGGTTTAACATAGTTACATAATCGATAGTTAAGTGTTTAATTCAGCGTAGGCTAAGTAGCTTACTAGACCTGCTAAGTTAGCGGCAATAGAGATTAGATAGGAATATAGACAGGCTACGAGGGCGCGGCCTTTAGAAGGGAAGCGTGTATTAGGGCTAAAGAGGCTATACGTAATTGGCATATAGTTAGGCCGAGTGAAGCCGGGGTCTCGGTGCCTTAGGCAGGGCTTGGCGCTTGGCGTTAGGCTAACTTGCCTGCCTTCCTCCCTCTCCTCTTAGATCTCTATCGAATACTACCTATACCTACTACTACCCTATCTACCTGCTAACATAACCCTTCTTACAGCTGCCGCCGATAGGCGCATATATTTAGTATAATACTGCTTAGTAATATCGTCTCGATAGGTTAATAATAGGTGCGCTAGTACTACCGTTTCTGCCTTCTTAACCTTCTAATAATAGTCGTAAGTAATATTCTCGATAAGGCTACGAATTAGTAGGTAACGGTCCTTTAATATAGTACTAGTAATAGCGTTAACTTCCTTAGCCTTATCGTCTTTATATAGGTTGTTATCGTCTACGAGCTACTCGCTATAAGTCTTCGGCGAGTTAATATCGCTATTAAAGCTATTAGGGTTAAAGAAACGGTTAATATAGTAATCTACCTATCTAGCCGTTATACTATCGCCTAATATCTCTCGATTATACTAAATATGCCGATATAGTTAGTACTACTGCTTCTAGAAGAAGCACTAGCATATATCGGGGAGTTAGTTATTAAGTTATAGTTAATATTATATCTAATTTAGAAGCCCGGCATAAGCGCGCTTCTAAGCGAGTCGATATTGCTTAGTAATAGCGGTTTGAAGACAGTATAGCAACTCGTAGAAGCGCTTACTACTACTATTTAATCTAGTAAATATAGGAAGTAGGTTATCCTTTACCGCCTCCTTCTTTATATTATTATACTATCTCTTATTAATCTCTAGTATATATATAAGAGTGCCGGCGAGCGAGAAGTTAGCCTTAATCGACTTAGTGTTGCTCTTAAAATCGGCGTAGTACGCCTCGACTAGACTAGTTGTACGCGCCTAAGTAACGATAGTTAGCAATTGCGCTTAGAAGAGGAGGTTATAGTAGTTATAGTAGTCTTATACGCATTAATAAGAGGTTGCTCCTCCGTTCCTTAACCGTCTATATCTAGGCGTACTTAGCGGACCATTCTCGTAATAAATACGAGTATAACTCGTCGTTCTTGCTGTCCAGTAGAGCGTTAATAGCCTATTGTATTCTAACTTTAATCTCCTTATTAGTCTCTATATATAACGATACCCAAACTAGCTTCTTATAGACCGCCTTATATCGACTTTTAAGTAGAAATTTGCGGCGAATAGTCTATAGTAAGTGCCGTATACAAAGATAGGTCCTAACTAGTAGAAATATCTCTCGGATTGCTATCTATTCTAAAGCCGAGTTATTAGTAACAGTGTATTATAACAACTAACTACTAGGTTTACTATAGTTAGCCTAAGAAGCTAGATAATATAGTGCCTACGTATAGACCTAACTATACTTGCTTTTAAGTAATGCGTATACTACTAGACGCTAGCGTATGTTGTCGTTAGAAATAAGGATATTAAACAACTTCTAGTCTATTTAGTTAACTTCGTACGTATCGTCTAGTAGTATTAATTTACTATACTTCTTTAGCAGCTTAATGCCTTCTTCTATAGCCTATACGAAGCCTCTTCTAATACTATCCTTTATTAAGACACTAAATAATTAACAATACAATCTATGCTCTTTTACTACCGCTATAATACCCTATAATTAAAGCTTAGGATCGTCTCGTTCGGCCGGCATCGTAAACCGCTTATCTTGGTTATAATAGGGCGACTTCTTAGCGGCATTGTGTAGTAAACCGATATCGAGATAAGGGACACCGAGATTAGGTCTATATTAGCTATTAATAGCGTCGTACGTCCGCCTCGCCTATAGCGAGTAGTCTATTTGCTTCTTAACCTCATCTTTAACTAGTTAATAGACCTTGCGGCTATTAAGAAGGTCGAGATTATAGGTATATATATTAGCAGTTATATAACAACGAATACTAACCTTTCTAGTAGCCTCGTTCTAGCGGTATTCTACTATTATAACAAAGCTAATAGAGCACTCCTCTTCTAGCGGTTTAAAGGCTCTTCTATCCTTAATACCTACTACTTCTCGATTTAGCTTGTTACGGCGCTGCCTTTCTATATAATAGTAGTATACCTTCTTATAGTATATACTATCCGTACTAGGCTTACCTAGCTTCTTAGTAGACCTCCTAGTATATTAATTGCTATATAGGCTCTATATTAATTTCTAGCCTTCCGTATCGGTGTTAATGTCTTCTATAAGGTTAAAAACTCGCTAGCGAAGCTATTTAAGGTTACTAATACTGCTAGGCGTAGATAGGTCTATATTAGTAGACGTTGTATAATATAGGGGATATAGAATAGGAAATGTAGAAGGAATTTGGGAACAGCAGAGATAGTAGCAATGCCAAGATTACGATTTGTATTGGGTTTAGCGGGGCTTAGTATAGTTAGAGTTGCTAGCAACTCTAGGTGCCCCGTGCGGGCCCCACAGTTGCTGGTATACAGACACTCCACAACTTTGCGACAGCGACATCTCCCGCATGCAACAATCTCATACAGCAACTCGAAAGGCGACGAAGCCGCACTGCACACCATCGTGACCCCGAAACACCGCCAGAATGCCGAAAGCAGAAGTCGGCTCGACCAAACACATCGCCAACAAGATGAAGGCGAAAGGCCTCCAACGTCTGCGCTGGTACTGCCAAATCTGCGGCAAACAATGTCGCGACGAGAACGGCTTCAAGCAACACACGCAATCGGAAGGCCACGTTCGAGCCATGCTACAAGTGGGCGAAGATCCCCGAAAATACATCAACGACTTCAGCAACCAATTCCGAAAAGACTTCCTCCAACTCCTACGAACAGCCCACGGCGAGAAGAAAGTCCACATGAACAATTTCTACCAGGAGTACATAAAAGACAAAGACCATGTGCACATGAACGCGACCAAGTGGCCGAGTCTCACAGAGTTTGCGAAATATCTTGGGCGAGAAGGGATATGTCGGGTCGAGGAGGAAGAGAGGGGGTTGTATATTCAGTGGATCGATGATAGCGCTGAAGCAATCAGGAGGAGGGAGGATATCAAGCGTAAAGACCAGTTGGCGAAAGGTGAGGAAGATATCGAGAGTAGGCTTTTGAATCAGCAGATTAAAAGGGCGAGGGAACAAGAGGAGAGGAAAAAGGCCGAGATGGCGGAGAAACATGTCCAGCAAGAGGAAGAGGAAGAGAGATCAGCCGAGCCTGCCGCACCCGCACCCGCACCAGTGAAGGTATCATTGAGCCTGAAGGGAGCAAAAGGCCGCGAAAAACAAAACGCCGAGAACGGAGAGGCAGCAGAAGGAACAGCCATCCCAATCGCCACATTTTCCTCTTCCACAGACCCACCAAGTACATCTGATCCCGCTTCAGCAGAACCAGCCAAGGAAGAAGAAGAAGAGCCACAAGACCAAAAGCAACCAGCAAAGATGTCACTCTCCCTGACAGCAAACAAAAAAATTTCGAATCCTCTGGCCAAGAAGAATCCCTTGGCCAAAAAGGCGCCGGTAGCCCGAGCTGAGCCGGAGAAGAAGATGAGTAATGCGGAACGGATTATGAAGGAAGAGCTAGAGCGGAAGCGAGTAGCTGACGAACGAAGTCATGGCGGGAAGAGGCAGAGATTTCATTGAGCGCTCGGAAATCGGATTTGAGAACTTTTAGCGTAGGCGTTGGGGGTTGGCATACTACATAGCAAGAGCGGACTCGTCACGAAATCGAGCTCGCCTCGCCAATGATGAAACGGCTTGTCCTCGGATGGAGAGGATATGTTTAACATTGATGCATGGTTAATTTTCATTCCATGTTGCGCTGCGATTAGTGGTCTACACTGAATATGTAAACGCCTCGAGCCTGTGCTGTGCCGCCTATGCTCTGATCCCATTTTCGATATTCATGCCTGCTCAACAGGTCTCATAGTCCTCCTTTCTGCCGTGATGCTCGAAACAGAAAGCATATCGATTCTAGCGATATGAGTAGCCGAGCGTAACGGAATTTCTGTCGATGTCTTGCTCTTTCTGCGCTTTCTAGAGCGGGTTGTATGCTGGTGGACCATAACCCATCGGCGCCGGAGCTGCTTTCGTCACGGCTGGCGAAGTCCACGAGACCGTACCGTTAGTCCGGCTGCTGGTGAAACTCGTGGTAGATGGAACGGGTCCAGAAGTCTCTGCAAAAGAGGAAACAGATGTGATGCTGGCTGGCAGACCGCCTGTGGTGATTGGAAACGTGATGCTCGCGGCGATGGTCCAGCCAGTCGCAGGGCCGACGACAGAGATGTCGGTAAACAGGCCGCAGCGAGTGGTGATGCCAAATTGAATGCCATCGCACGATCCGGTGCAGGATGCCACACAGGCAGCAAAGTCTGAGGCCGAGATGAAGCGGGAGTGAGCAGCATCGAAGCGGCTGTCGCAGCCTACAGCGAAGTAATTGCCGTTGGCGTCCGTGTACACATTGTCGTCGTATTCTGGACAAGTGACGTTGGCAAGGCTAGGGCTGGTGGTTGTAGAAGATGGCGCGGGAGATGAAGTCGTGGTGTTGCGAAGCGGCGGCATTGATGCAACACTCACAGGGCCCACTGGTCCGATGGTGGAGGTGCGCGAAGGAAATGGGCTCGGCTGAGCGGTGATGCTGCCGCGACGTGAACTGGCCGTGGCGCTCGCTGTCGAAGCAATACTTAGAGTCGCATCACCTTCATCATCATCTCCATCATTGTCAACCACCAACAATACGTATGGCACATCGCTTCTCTCGACAGTCTTGTTGATGCCTTGTAGACAGAGATGGCATGCCTTGGTGTCCGGGTACCACATGGCGGCTAGACAAGTCACGGCTTGGTCGCAGCTCTCGGTGCAGAGATCTTGGGTGCCTGGATCACGGTGCACCGAAGTGCTCATGCATGTTGGCTCGAGGCCACAGAAGATGGTGTATGAGCCATTGAGCTTGTCGGTGTATGGTGCTCCCTGACATTCAGGACAGGTAATATCTGCTGTGTCGCAGCCTGGGTTGATGGGCAGAGTGGAGAAAGTTGGTTCTGGCGTGGCGGTGGCGGTAGAAGCGTTCCAAGCTTGGGTCTTGGAGCTGCTTGGACTGCCTTTGGTCTCGGGGTAGCCAGCGATGACCGGGAAGAATGCTGTGAACGACTCATGATAGGTAGCGGATGGATCAGCTTTGGCGATTAGACAGCTGCGCTCGCCATGGTAGGTAGCTCCCGTGCAGAAATCGAGCTTGTCACATTCTAGGAGACATTCTTCTGGCGATAGCCACTCCTGTACCGAATAGCTTCCGTTCGACTCGATTGAGGTGTCGCAAAGCACGCGATATGTCTTGTCGTTGGAGTCGACTGCAATCAATCCGTTGCACTTCGGGCAGATATCAGGATCATCCAGGCTGCAGGAAGCGGACAGGGCGGTGGCAGATGCGCTGGCTGGCGCCGAGGTGGATGTGGTGGAAGCGCGTGTATGAGTTCCGCTCAGAGTTTCGGTGATACGAACATGAGAGGTCGAAGTGGCGCGGGAGGTGCTGGTCAATGTCGCAATGGTGACCAGGTTGGTGAAGCCAGCGGACCACCTCAGGCCCTGCTGTTCGCCAGAGGCAACCGTGCAGCTGCCATTGGCGGCAAAGTTCACGCCGACGCATTGGTCGGCGTCGTCGCAGGCATCCAAGCAAGTGGGCCAAGATACATGGCCGGCCAGTTCTTGCTCAGTCTCCGAGTCAATGACCCAGTCGCATGTGATGCTCCACTTCTGGCCCTTGGAATCAGTGGCATTCTTGCCATCGCACTGAGGGCACAAGCTGTGGTCCTCTCGCAAGGCGCAGCTGTCGCCCTGACGCGCCGCGAGGATGCTGTCGGCCGATGCTAGCAATGGCAGCGAGGCTGTAGCAAGCGCTGCGGTGAGTGAAGGCCACGACTTCATGGTGGGAGCGAGTGGACGCCTGGGCGGCTAAACGAGGGACAAGAAGTAAGCTTGAACGAGTGTGTGAGTGCAGTGCAGTGCAGTGCAGTCGCCAGTCGAGAAGGAAGACTACTACTGTTGATGTGGCTGCCGAAGCTCAAGATGTCATCGAAACGCGCTCGCGCTCGCTCGCGGAGACTCCACGCAAGGCACAAACGAAGCAACGCAACTGCCTCGCTTCATCTTGCATTCCTGCTGTCGATTTTGTCAGGGCGAACAACACCGAGAAAGTGAGACTTGCCTTTCTTCCAACGCATGTCTCCCCTGCAATTTCTCATCGCGTGTTCGAGCGCGCTGCACGAAGCCGTCCGGTGGTACAATTCAAGGCCTCTCGCACACAAGACAAACAGACAAAGGGGTACATGACCGTTGCAATTTCATTTTCGCTCTGCTGCAGTGCCGCCTTCTACGCTGTGCCAGAATCAGACGGCCTTCGTTGGCTGATATTGACGCCATGGTCTGCACTGGTCTACGTTCCGATCTAACACGACAGTCTCATGGTCAACTGTAGAGAGCCAACTGTAGAGATCTCAGCACTCCAGAAAAACAGTCAGGTGTTGTCCAAATACCTCCTCCGATGTCCTTGGTAGCCATCCCTCTCGCTTCACTTCTACACGTCTTGCTGAGCTCGTTGTTGCCCTCTGACCGCTACACAGCGTCTTTTCCGGTGAAAAACAAGGCCGTCATTGACGCCGTCACCGCCCACTCACACCAGGTCCAGTCTGCAGCGAGTGATGTGAGTGACGCAGAGCCCGGGAAATCTCCGCCATCTCTCGTTCCAACTCTCGAATCCTCCGTTCCTGCCCGATTCGCTATGATACAATTTTGACAGGGAGCGGAGGTCTCGGCCCAGTTCTGTCCTGTTCGCCGACGTTCGTTTCACACGCGAAGAAGTTGTGCTGTGCTGTGTCTTCGGCTGAGCTCCGGTGACAGCGTGGAAGTTATGCATCGACTATGTCCGAAGGCACCTCGTACCCGTCGTAATTCTATGGGGTGAGGAGGGACGCCACGCCACGGCCACGACTGCGAGAGGTGTGGCTCGCACTGCAGACGCCGCCGTCACGTCGCCCGTACTGTACCTACATTTCAAGAGTGTATATCGTCCAATATGAGTTAACGACTGCAAGGCTAGGGAGAGCCTAGTCTGCCACCTCGCCTATTCTAATCGGGGTGCAGATGCGATCTTTGCAGGCAACCCTTGAAGGCCCATGCCCCTCGCATCCATCGCATTCGTCATTGACCACCAGGGTTTTATTCTTGTACGCCCACTCCGATAGACTATAGTCCGTGCGAGCGAGATGATGTCCCCGTCAACGTCAACGGCAGCTACACGCAACAACCACAGTAGCCTGATGCCAATAATGGTATGTGTTGAAGACCGTTATGCTTTCTTTAGAAGACGACTTTGGCTTCTTACAGCTAGATTCCGTGGTCAAGGATTCGGACTGAATCACACTAACCGACCCCGCCTCCGCTACGTAGACGAGAAGCTACGCGCGACTACATTCTCGGATGAGGTACAGTCCGGACTGTACATATCTTGAATGCATTCACAAAAGAGAAGCACATATCTTCAATCTTCTCACATCTCACAGGCAGGTCGCAATTCCTTTCACTTCACTCCTCTTCTCTATATTCGCGTCATCGATCCAGTCAAAGAAGACCGCTGCACCGAACCGCAGTGAAAGGCTGATAAGGCAGATATCGACGCTGTTCACTGCCGACTACAATACTTTGCTAGCCCGCGAGGCCATACCGACGTCGAACCGTGATACAGTATCCCATCTGCAACATCATTCACGAAAATCGGGCTCTGGTCTACCATAGCAAGAACCAGGCCATTGCGCCTTCACACTCGCTTGCATGTTATTCGCCCCCGAGGTCATGGCGCTCGACTTCGACACGAAACAAATGAGCGACAAATCAAGCAACAACATCTCCTCACGCGACGAGGTTGACCTGGCAGATCAAGAGAAAGCGCAACTTGGACACGTGCCTGTACCGACAGAGCCAGCGACGGCCTCACCGATACACAGACTCGATTCGAAAGTACCAAAACGGAAAGATGAAGAGCAAGGTGAACAGGACCCGTTCGCGCATCTCCCAGAACACGAAGCTGCCATTCTCAAGAGACAATTGGTGATCCCTCCAGTGAAGGTCACCTATTTCCAGCTATTCAGATATGCCACTCCATGGGATGTGGCCATCATGTTCTTGAGTGGTATTTGTGCGATAGTTGCTGGTGCTGCGCTCCCTCTCATGACCGTTATTTTCGGTAACCTAGCTGGCACATTCCAAGGCTTCTTCCTAGGCACTGTCACTAGACAAGACTTCTCAGACGAGATCGGCCGATTGACGCTCTACTTCGTCTACTTGGCCATCGGAGAGTTCGTAACAACATATGTCCAAACTGTCGGATTCATCTACACGGGAGAGCACATTAGCGGAAAGATCCGACAGCAATACTTGGCCAGTATCTTGAGGCAGAACATTGGATACTTCGACAAATTGGGCGCAGGAGAGATCACCACACGAATCACCGCAGACACGAATTTGGTCCAAGATGGCATCTCAGAGAAGATTGGCTTGACCTTGGCAGCCCTCTCGACTTTCGTCGCTGCATATATCATTGGATACATCAAGTACTGGAAGCTCACCCTGATTTTGACATCGACAATTGTGGCAATCTTCATCACCATGGGTGGTCTTGGACAATTCATCGTCAAGTGGAACAAGGCTGCGCTCTCGTCCTACGCTGAGGGCGGCACAGTGGTTGAGGAAGTCATCAGCTCCATCCGCAACGCCATCGCTTTCGGGACCCAGGACAAGCTTGCGCTCGAGTATGACAAGCACCTAAGCAATGCTGAGAAGTCGGGCTTCAAGACGAAGGCCATCACTGGCTCCATGATAGGCATCCTCATGCTCTTTACCTATCTGACGTACTCACTGGCCTTCTGGCTAGGCAGTCGGTACATCGTCAGCGGTGAGACCGACCTTTCTGCTCTTCTGACAATTATCTTGTCAATCATGATCGGTGCTTTTTCGCTTGGCAATGCGGCGCCCAATGCCGAGGCCTTCACTACTGCTATCGCAGCAGCTGCCAAGATCTACGGCACAATTGACAGAGCCTCCCCGCTTGACCCAACCTCGACTGCTGGCGACACAATCAAGCAGCTCGAAGGAGTGGTTGAGCTCCGGAATGTCAAGCACATCTATCCTTCGCGCCCAGAAGTTGTTGTCATGGAGGATGTGAGTCTCACAGTTCCGGCGGGCAAGACCACCGCCCTGGTAGGTGCTTCAGGATCTGGCAAGAGTACCATTGTTGGTCTCGTCGAACGATTTTACGACCCGGTTGGCGGCGAGGTCCTTCTCGACGGCGTCAATGTACAGAAGCTCAATCTGCGTTGGTTGCGGCAGCAGATCAGCTTGGTGTCCCAAGAGCCAACACTATTCGCCACGACCATTGCAGGCAACATTCGACATGGTCTCATCGGCACACCGCATGAACACCTTTCCGAAGAGGAGACGCGCGAGCTGGTGGAAGCTGCCGCCAAGAAGGCGAACGCACACGACTTCATCTGCGCTTTGCCGGAAGGCTACGAGACCCATGTTGGCGAGCGCGGATTCCTACTATCAGGTGGCCAGAAGCAACGCATTGCAATTGCAAGAGCCATCGTCAGTGACCCCAAGATTCTTCTCCTGGATGAGGCCACATCGGCGCTTGATACCAAGAGCGAGGGTGTGGTGCAAGCCGCACTGGACAAAGCAGCTCAAGGGAGAACCACCATCGTCATCGCCCATCGTCTCAGCACTATCCGAGATGCTGACAACATCGTTGTGATGGTCCGAGGTCGCATCGTTGAACAAGGCACGCACAATGAGCTTCTCGAGAAGAAGACTGCCTACTACAATCTGGTCGAGGCTCAGAGAATCGCGGCCGAAAATGATCAGAATCGGGAATTTGAGGCAGAAGAGGAAGATGGAGACAGGAGTGCAGTACTCGACGAAAAGGATGGCGATGCCAAGACAACGGCGCAGTGGTCCCTTGTCGAGGATCCGAATGATCTCGAGCTTCGCCGAAGCCGAACACGAAACTCGATCTCCAGTCAAGTTCTTGCCGAGAAAGGTCAGCGCAACTCCAGTCACTACCACCTTTGGACGCTCATCAAATTGGTTGGCTCCTTCAACAGAACCGAATGGCATCTCATGCTTTTCGGCCTGTTCGCATCTATCATCTGTGGTGCCGGCTACCCAGTCCAGGCCGTCTTCTTTGCCAAATGTATCAATGCGCTTTCAGTCACGCCCTCGCAGTACGGGGAGCTCCGATCGGCAGCGAATTTCTGGTCTTGGATGTACTTCATGCTGGCTTTCGTTCAGCTCCTCGCATATCTTGCGCAGGGTGTTGTCTTCGCTTGGTGCAGCGAAAGGCTTGTTCACAGAGCACGAGACAAGTCGTTCCGATCCATGCTAAGACAGGACATTGCTTTCTTCGACAGGGACGAAAACTCATCAGGCGCTCTGACGTCGTTCCTCAGCACTGAGACCACCCACCTTGCGGGAATGTCTGGTGTCACTCTCGGCACGATTCTGCTCGTTTTCACCACCTTGGTTGTCGGGTTCATCATCTCACTTGCGATTGGCTGGAAGTTGGCACTCGTCTGCATCGCCACCGTCCCAATCGTGCTTGGTTGTGGCTTCCTCCGTTTCTGGATGCTTACCAGATTCCAAGCTCGCGCGAAGAAGGCCTACGAGAAATCTGCTTCATACGCTTGCGAGGCCACTTCGGCCATCCGCACCGTCGCATCTCTCACCAGAGAAGACGATGTCTGGCAGCATTATCACGGCCAGATCGAGGCTCAAGAGGCTGAATCTCTTCGCTCTGTGGTTCAGTCCAGCGCACTGTACGCTGCCTCGCAAAGTTTGATGCTCTGCTGCATTGCTCTTGGTTTCTGGTACGGAGGCACTTTGATCGGCAAGGGCGAGTACAACCTCTTCCAATTCTTCTTGTGTTTCTCCGCTGTCATCTTCGGCGCGCAATCTGCTGGTACCATCTTTAGTTTTGCTCCCGATATGAGCAAGGCCAAGCACGCAGCTGCTGAGATGAAGACTCTCTTCGATCGCAAGCCGGAAATCGACACCTGGTCTAAGGAAGGCGAGATGGTCTACTCCATGCAAGGCGACATCGAATTCCGTGATGTGCATTTCCGCTACCCAACTCGACCCGAGCAACCAGTGCTTCGTGGCCTTGATCTGCAAGTGCGAGCAGGCCAATATGTCGCGCTAGTCGGCGCATCAGGATGTGGAAAGTCGACGACCATTGCAATGCTCGAGCGCTTCTACAATCCACTTGCTGGAGGCATCTATGTGGACGGCAAGGAGATCTCATCACTCAATGTCAACTCCTACCGCAGTCACCTGGCGCTTGTCTCACAAGAACCTACCCTCTACCAAGGCACGATCCGCGAGAACATCCTCCTGGGCGCAGACAAGAAACCAGAGGACGTCCCAGAAGAAGCAATCATTCAAGCCTGCAAGGACGCCAATATCTACGACTTCATCATGTCCCTCCCAGACGGCTTCCAAACCGTCGTCGGCTCCAAAGGCTCCATGTTATCCGGAGGTCAAAAGCAACGTGTAGCCATCGCTCGCGCACTCCTCCGCGACCCAAAGATCTTATTGCTCGACGAAGCGACTTCAGCCCTCGACTCCGAATCCGAAAAAGTCGTGCAAGCAGCTCTCGACAAAGCGGCGAAGGGCCGCACCACGATTGCCGTGGCACACAGACTTTCTACAATCCAGAAGGCAGATATGATCTATGTTTTCGACCAAGGACGGATCGTTGAGAACGGGACACACAGCGAACTTCTTGCGAAGAAAGGGCGGTACTTTGAGCTGGTTAATTTGCAGAGTCTTTCCAAGACTCATTAGAAGGAGTAATTGTATTAGAAATTTTTATAGCGAGGCGTTGGGAGGTTCAGATTCGGCATTTGTTAGGCGGGTTAGCTGGCATTGAAGTCGCCGCCGCTGCTTCAGATTATATATAAGAACAATAGGTTACAGAATAACGACAGATAAATTAGCAATTAAAGTAGAAAGAATATAGCTACTTAGTTGCTACTACTATCTACCTACTATAGGTAATAAAAAAATTTAAACAATAAGACGAAACGCGTTTATATATAAGATTAAGTAGTAGGTATTAGAAATATACTTTATACTTTCCGTACGCTATATAAAGAGCGAATAACCTTATATAGTAGCGATACTTTAAGTTGCTATTTAATAAGAGTTAGTCTATATAGCAATTAGTATAAGTAGTAGAATACTTTAACCCGAAATATACTTAGGCTAAAGATATTAAAGACGTTCTATTAAGTAATAACTTAAAGTTTTCTTAAATCCCTTCTACTAGTACGCTAGCGGCGCGTTTAGTTTTATCTTATATACTTTAACTGCTTTTATAATTAGCTTAGAAACTGTATATTGTAAGCTCTATAGCGTATATCGCCTTAGGTCTAGGACCCGTTATTGTTATCTTAACTAGCTCGGGCTCTATAGTACTTATAAGCCTCTTTTAGCCTAGGCCTTTAGGAAAGGTTATATCGACGCTAGTTATATCTTCTTCTAAATCGTAGTGCTATCGTTATATAGCTACACTTATAAATAAATAAGGACGAGAATAATAGCGTCGCGTTATATATAGATCGTAGCCTTTCTTTATAGATCGCTCGATTCGACGGTATACTCGTTGTCCGTATATCTCTAAAGACATTAGAACTAGTTTCGTAGGGCTTTAGTATAACTATCGCTAGCGTTTGAAAGTTAGAGTCGAGGTAGAGAACCGTAAAAGCTAGAGACGGTATAAAGTCGCAAAAGACTTAGCACTTCAAAGTGGATCCAAGAAACCTTCCCTGCATACTATATAAGGAAGCCACGAGGAAGCACTCTCGCCGCGGCCAACAAAGCAACGAAAAAAAAATGTAGAATCATAATTCACAATCTAAAACATGCCCCCTCCAAGTCCGACCCTACCAGTTCTATCCTTCCTCTCATACCCATTTCCCAACACCGGCTGAATCTCAACCGGACGACTCAACTCTCGAATCCGATTCTGACTCTCCACATAACCTTTCAATCTCGAATCCCAAGGTTTCGCAAGACTAGAATCGCTCAAAGTCCCCATCCGACCCCCAACAGCAGCAGCATCATTCTCCATCATCTTCGTAGTACTGGAGCTGAACGACCTCCTCCTCCTTCTCGCCTCAACCAACCCCGTCCTCCTCAAACTAACCACCTCAGGAGATTCTGCAAGAGTCATAATGCCTAGGGGACTCGGCTTGAGGGTCGAAGTGGATGTTGAACGGGAGCTTGTAGTGCGACTGCACGGTAGATCTACGCTTCGCCGAGATTCTCCACTGGTGCTTCGACTATAAACACTCGAGAAAGATTCGGTTCTGTCGAGATGTGCAGGGGCAGGTCGGAGGATTCGTACGCTGTCGCCCGGTCGATAGGGGCGTTTGGGTGGGTGGATGGCGCGGTGGATGGAGGGAGGGGGAGTTTGGTGCTTTGGGGGGATGTATGCGGGTAATGGCGGTAATGGGGAGGAAGGGGGAGGAGGGAGGTAGAGGCTTGTGTGTGATCGGATTGAGGATAGAGATGGGCGTGGTCGGAGGAGGGATGGTGGTGCTGAGGAACGACCAGTGTGGATTCCAAGACCATGGCCATGGGGTTGATTAGGTGTCGGCACTGTTGATTGATCTGGCGGTTGCTGTCTCGACGACAGGGAAGTGGATGAGCGGCATTTGAAGGACATCTCTGAGAATGTGGCGTGGCACTTCTTCTGCTTGTAGGGCAAGAACATTGGCAGAAGCTTGTGTTCTTTGACGATGCCGAAAAGGTGGCATCGATAAGGCTCGTTGACTTTGTGCAGAAGTACGAACAAGGCGCCAGAGACGATGCTGTCATCGTTCGTTAGCGTCATATCGAATCGTTGTGCTGAATACTTACAGCGCTATAAGGCTGGCCAATATCGTCACTCGATTTATGATACAAGTTTTGCCCTTGTCGAGAGGTGAGACGCTCGATGAGGCGCACAAGGGTGTTCTGGCGGCAGTAAATGTGATGGTGAGGCCGCATGCAATCATCCAGATCGTGACGAGAAGTCGAAGTGTGTGTGTCGCAAGGCCTTGGAAGGCGTCTACTCTTTCGCATTGTTTCATGTCCCCGGCACGAACTCTGAGATGGGTGGTAGTGTTCTGAAAGAAGAGGTAGAATAAGGACAGCGTGCTCTGCAAAACTCATCAGTCGGGTTCCGCCATATCTGGCTCTCTTTCACATACCGCGACGAGATATAGAACGATAGACGGGATATCGTTCACAGAGACCACTCCCAGGATTAAGATGTAGGCCGTACTCGCTGCGACGTATAGGGACATCCATAGCAGGACATTCTGGCAGACGACTATCGATCCTCGTCCGAGTGTACTTGTTCGCGATCTCATGCGGCCCGGTCTGCTCTTCTCAGACGATCCTCGAAGTCCCATTTCGAGACTTCCTGACCTCAATTTGTTCGTAGGTGAGCGGTGGTCAAGGCTGACAATTAAACTTGAAAAGCGCTTCGAATCGATCACGCTTCCAGAGTAGCACGTCGTGTGGTGTATGCATGGTCAAACGAAGGTCTCGCGGTCGCGAGAGTCTCTCGTGAACCTCCGCAGTAGGCTGGTACATGGCCAGTAAAGGCGAGCTCGGCAATGCGAGGAGTGGAATTTGGTAGGTGCCGCGACCAGCCATCATGTCACGTTCGTGTCGCGCTGACAGTGATAAGTCTGTGAGTGGTTGCATGAGTTGCATTCCAGTTGGCGCTATGGGGTGGTATTGGAATGTGCTTTGAGTGCGGACGTCCGCGGATGAACCAACGCCACACTTCATGAATTCGAGAGGTCGGTGGCGTGCTGACGAGCAATTATAGAGCTGTCTCTGTATCTAAAATATTCTTGCGAAGGATCCCAACACTTCTTACGTACAGTATCAGCCAACTCATATCATACATATACTTTTATGCTTACACTCATATATACATGCATTCATGATTCTTGAGCAAGATGGCTCGGCAAGTTGTAGTCCGCGTAATCCATGTGCACGAATGCGCGATCAACAGTCGGCACGCTTTCAATCACGTACTGCAAACTTTCGCCGAGATCATGTGAATCGCGCAAGCTGATATCTTCATCGAGCACAATATCAACCTCAACATTAAGCTTGTCGCCCGAATGGTACGCTTGTAGACCTTGGATCTTCTTGATCGTTTTCGCAAAGCGCATCGTGAGATAGAGCAGGATGTTGCGCTCGTCAGCGGATGCCGATGCTCCGGTCAGGTTTCGAATGTGCTCGTTCGCTGTCCGGGCCCAGTTGATGATGACGTATAGTGATAAACAAATACCTCCGACAGGATCAAGCCACCATATCCTAGCGTAGAAGCCGATGAGCGGAAAGATGATGGAAAAGATGTTGAAGACGACATCGGTCATAGCGTCTTGGGCTAGTGCCTGGACTGAGCTGTTCTTGATAAGTCGACACCAGAACCAGCATGCGCCCTTGATGACGACCGTTGATGCCATGATGGCGATGGCAGGGACTGTGAGCTGCACGACCTCGTGATCGGGGCTTCGAAGTTTGGAAATAGCTTCCCAGCCAACCTGGATGAAGGCTGTGATCATGATGACGGAAAATACCAGGACGCCCACCGGTTCGAGACGTCGACGACCGATTGGATACGCATACTGGTCTGTATGAGCGATGAGACGTGTGGTGATACCCACGATGGCTGTACTGAGGAAGTCCAGCGCGGCATCGACTAAAGACGCAAGAACCGAGACAGAGGAGGAAAGAATGACTACAATGATCTTCAAGATCAAAAGTGCTGTGTTTGCAATCAGGTTGACGATGATGGCGATCGAAACAATTCGTGATTGCGATGAAGCTTCTTCCTCATATTCGAGGTCTGGTGGCATGTTGGGGCCATTTTCGACATCGCCAGCTGTGGATGATTCAGGGCTCAATAGAGGTTGCTCTTCGCCGTTTGCATCGCTCTTGTTCCGGGTTTTGACAGTGTAAATATCTTTGGGCGTCCTCTTGACTTTGGTCGGCGGTGGTTCGGTAGCTCCGTAACCATTCGCATAAAAGCCGCCGTTGGCGTCTATACTGTCGAAGGAGCCATGACGCTCAGGATATATTGGCTGCGGAGGAGAGGTGCTGCCCTCATCCTCCTCTATAGTCTCGGGCATGTTCTCTTGCCATGGTGTCTGATTGATTGCTGATGTCTGCTTCGGAGGCTGCTGATATTCCTGGATCAAGTCATGCGGCAGACTGCTGTCGAGTAGACGATCGATGTACAAGTAATGTTGAACAAGATAATTGACGCGCTCATAGTATTTCCGCACCGCTTTCTTCTTGATCTTCTGCAGGTCCTCATGTGACTTCCAGTACTGCTCCCATTGATAACGCGGATTCGTGTAGCCGATCAGTCGCTGAGATCGAACCTGAGGCGTATTCAGTATGCTTGCTGCGTAGCTCATCCGCCTGGCATTCTCATCGCCACCACCCCATGCTGCTACAGGACGACACGTGGGAAGTTCAAGATCTTTGCTGGAATCGGCACTATCGCTTCGTTGTCGAACGGCGGGTATGTCAGCTGCGCTCAAGGAGCTCGGGCGGCGCGGCCAGTGCGGACGCATTCCCGCCAGATTCGTGGCGGAGATGATGGACGCCAGGTGCTGGCCGCGTGGGCTTGCAAGGGGAGCATCGTCGGCTGCGGACAATGGAAGGAAATCTCGGAGACTCTGTGTTCTGTAGCTGGTGGACTGTTGGTTCGAGAGCCCGCGGTCCATCATTGCATTCCTGTGTCTTTGTGCCGAGGTTCGCGCTTCCCGCTTTTGAGCGTCGCACACCTCAGGCACGTCCGCGTCGGGCTGCAGCCTCTTCAGCCAGCGTGTAGCGACCAGTCACGAGGATGAGGATGAGAGAGAGAAGGGAAGGGTGAGATGGAAGCATTATTGCTTATCCCAACAAGCTGTCATCAAGCTCGCCCAAGCTTCCACGCGCCCCACTTGCCCGCCCCTCCGGAGTCCGTGCCGGCGCAACCACGATCCGAAAAAGCCAATCGAGATCAGATGAAATTTCTTGGCATCAATGATCTGCACGAAGCACTTCGGCCTGATGGCCTGATGCTTCTCCGAGCACCTGGATTCACCCTTCCGACATGCTCCTACCATCATTTACATTGTTCTGGGCGATCTGGACATGGTCATGACGCGCGCCGCGCCCCCTCCAGTCTACTTGCGTCTCATCCTATCGCTGCGCCTTTGTCCATCCTGCGGCTTGTTCCGTTGTAGAAGACATCGCATGGCCGCTTGCAGACCTCACGCCGCTCGCTTGCTGCATGGAGTCTCATTCCTCGAGCCCAGAAGGCATTGTTGTAGACGCCAATGAGTCTTTCATGGTCGTCCATTGTGTGCGCTATATGATGGCTTCTGAAACATCTGCACGGCCCATCGAACGTCCACTCTCAACTACCTCATTGCCAAGTATCTGCAGACCTTTTCACCATGTTGTCCATTAACAGTTCCACACAGCTTCTGCCTCGTGTTGACTCGCCCGAAAATGCCGGGACGAGTAAATTGTTCGGTCAGCGTCGACGGTCGTCTGCGCTTGACATGAGCTTGATGACGGTGTAAGGCAGAGAACGGACATACTGTTGTGACCGTTCCCCGCTAACAGCAAGCAGCGACCCTGAGCTCAAGAAGGGGTATGAAGTGCTCGAAAGCGACACTCGTCAAGCAAACCTCGCTGCTCACCAATCCAACCTGCGCGTCATTCACACCACACCTTCTGATGGCAACCCCTTGGTGTGCGTCGTCGGCGTGGGCTATGTCGGCGAAATCCTCCTCAAAGAGTTCGGAAGCATATTCCCAGCCATAGGCTTCGATCTCTCCGACTCTCGTCTCGAATACCTCCAACCCTCCTTCAGCCCATTGAAGACCGTCCGACTCTCCTCGGACCTGTCAATCCTGAAAGAAGCCACACACTTCTGCATCTCAGTTCCCACTCTCCTGCGTCCAGACAAGAGCATCAACACCGACCATCTTGTCCGCGCCATTGCCATGGTCACAAGCCAAGCACGATCAGGCTCCACGATTGTCATCGAATCCAGCGTCTCCGTAGGCATGACCAGAACACTGCTTGGACCTTACAGCGACAAATTCCACTGCGGAATGTCTCCCGAACGAGTCGATCCCGGCCGCACTCAACCTCCCGCCCGAGAAATCCCAAAGATCATCTCAGCACTCTCCGAACCAGCCCTGCTCAGCATGCACAAAATCTACTCACAAGCTTTCGATACCGTCATCCCAGTCTCCACACCAGAAGTCGCCGAGATGACCAAATTGTTTGAGAACTGCTACCGCATGGTTAATATCAGCTACGTCAACGAAATCGCCGACGCTTGTGCTAAACATGGCATTGATGCCGACGAGGTCATTTCTGCCGCTGCCACGAAGCCCTTTGGATTTCAGTCTTTCAAACCTGGACTTGGTGTTGGTGGACACTGTATCCCCATCAATCCTCATTACCTTATGGTAAACAACGATCTGCCAGTCCTGCGACGGGCGACCGCTGATACATGGGCGCGTCCTCGTTTGGCCGCGAGAGAGTTCTTCAGGGTCTGCAAGAAATCTAATGAAGAGCCACGGATTTTAGTCATCGGGATGGGCTTCAAGCCTGGGCAGAGTGTGATTAGTTGTTCTCCTGGTGTGGCCTTCGCCGACGAACTTCAAAATCTTGGTTGTGACGGCTTGGCCTTCTATGACCCTTTGGTTGAACAGGCGCAGATTCCTGTGATTAGAAAGTTGAGCGAAGAAGAGTACAGCGCCGAGTTTGTTGATGCCTTGTTTGACGCTATTGCGGTGTGCACGAAGCAGGATAAGGTTGATTGGTTGGTCTTGAAGAATTTGAAGAGGGCGGTGGTACAGTGGTATTAGGTACATGTAAATGCTCCTTTGTAGAAGTTTGACGGCCAAGTTATACATTTCGTGAAGATGTTCCATCTTGTTGTTGCGAATGCAGTGCCCAGATCGGGCGAGGAAGTGATGTTGAATTATGATAAGCGAGGTATGCGCGGAGTAGCTGCAGCTTGGTTACACGCGAGCCTCCTGGCGCGCGGCTGGGGTATCACAGAGTGATTGGCACATTCTTTGAATTTCTTTCCTTGCCGCGATGTCTTGCCCAAACAATGTTGTGCTCCACAAACGTAAGGAGCTAAACAGACGGCTGGGCGGACACGGTTGAGCGTCCCGCACACTCTCTATGTCGCCGCTCAATGGAGGAGGAGCTCCATCCAGTTGCAAAGGATACGACTGACGCTGCGGATCGACTTTCGGGACATCCATCGTCCAGCGCTGTACAAGAGCGGGCTGCAATCCATGTTGCTCCAATAGCTCGCAACTTCAGCTTACCATCAGGCCAAACACCTCCCAGACGCGGGACTGTGGTATCTGAAGATGGCACGAAACACCAAGCCGGGAGAAATCGTTCGGAGCCCACCAACTTCAGCAGACCCCGCGGATTGGCCCACGATCAGACACAAAGTGGCGAATCTGATCCACCATCAAGGAGTTTCAGCAGGCCTTTTGAACGGGCCAATAATCGAGCGCAAGATGGCCGGCTCGTCCAACCAAGCTTGAGAAGCTTCAGCAGGCCTTTCGAGCCGGTCAATGATGTATCACAAGACGATAGCCTCAGTCCAAGGCCCACGAGCTTCAGTAGGCGTTTCGAGCCGGTCAATGATGTAGCACAAGACGACATCCTCAGTCTAAGGCCCTCGAGCTTCAGTAGGCCCCTCGAGCCGGTCACTGATGGAGCACAAGACGACAGCCTCAGTCCAAGGCCCACGAGCTTCAGTAGGCCTTTCGAGCCGGTCAACGATGCAGCACAAGACGATAGCCTCAATCCAGAGTCCAGGAGCTTCAGTAGGCCTTTCCAGCCGGTCAACGATGTAACACAAGACGATACCCTCAGTCCAAGGCCCACGAGCTTCACTACGCCTTTCGAGCCGGTCAACGATGCAGCACAAGACGACAGTCTCAGCCCAAGGCCCAAGAGCTTCAGCAGGCCTTTGGAGCCGGTTAATGATGCAGCACAAGACGACAGCCTCAGTCCAAGGCCCACGAGCTTCAGTAGGCCTTTCGAGCCGGCCAATGATGTAGCACAAGACGATAGCCTCAGTCTAAGGCCCTCGAGCTTCAGTAGGCCCCTCGAGCCGGTCACTGATGGAGCACAAGACGACAGCCTCAGTCCAAGGCCCACGAGCTTTAGTAGGCCTTTCGATCATCAAGACTCTTCTAGCGCAAGGCACGCTTCCTCAGATAGCGCGTCGTCGAACGTGACGTCTCAAGCTCCGCACGAACCAAGACGCCGCTCAGTCAACTTCTCGCATGTCTCATATGCGCCGCTCGAAACTCCACGAACGGTACGCACTAGACCGATCAGTTCGTATGCTCCGAACTTCACGCCACCGACCATCTTTGAAAATGCATCGCAAGCTTCGGAAGCTGACCCTCATGGCTCGACGAATGTAAGGCGAAGATCGAGGGTGCTGCATTCTGCAAGTCGGAGATCATCATCGATGCAGAGCTCTTCAGTGCCCGAATCTCCATTGCAGAGCAACTTTAGGCGGTCACTGCGAGGATCGCGCAAAGAGAGGCCAATATCAGCACCGACACAACTTGACTGGCAGTGGCCAGTTGAAGACGAGAAGAGTGCTCAAGCAAAGAAGAGATGGACATGGGACCCCTCGACGCATTCGCCGACCTGGAATCGCGACTACGGTCTGAGGAGTGAGGGCATTGAGCCGCATGACTTCGCCTTGGACCATGAATCTGAGCATCGTAAAAGTGAATCCGATCATGACCTTCCCCATCATGACCCACGAAGAATGCGAGGAGCTTCAATCTTTGAAGAACACGGTCCACGGAGAGCGAGTACTTGGACAGTTCGCCATCCTCGTCGACAATCGCTGCGCACACAATCTTTCGACCCAGGTGTTCGAAGAAGGTTTTCAAATGCCGCGGAAATGGTTTTCGGTAGTGGGCGCAGACAATCGGTCGTGGCTAAGGCTGTAGAGGATGTTATTGCACCTCAGACAGAAGAAGCCCTGCGATTCTACCATACGCCAAGTGTAGCAGCTTTCGATGTCGATATCGAGAAAGGCCCAGACGATCCAGACGACGGGCCAGTCAACCCAGCCAGAAACTTGACCAAAAAAGAGCTCTTGCACCAGCGACTGGTATTTGGATCCGTAGTGGTGTCTCTCAATATCGCCTGCATCGTTGCAAGTGGAATGGGCTATTCCGGCACCTGGGTGTTGGTGGTCATCTTGTTCTTCAAAAGCAAAGATTTCCTGTCTGTATGGATCCAAATATTTTGTCGCATATATTACAAGCTAAAGCCGCTGTTCCGCAAGATCGAAGTCGAGAAAAAGGCAGCCTGGATCTTGAGCCTCATCCCAGCCTACTCGGAATCGGAGGAACAAATCGTGAAGACACTTTTCTCACTCCGCGACAATGGCATGGGCGAGCACCGACAAGTCATGTGCGTCATTCTTGATGGCAAGCCCAGACCCATCAAGTCCCACATGACGAAGGTCGTGGCCTCCTTTTCGCGCAAATACGTGTCGCTCAAATGGAAAATCGGCACGCTCCAGATCGACGCAGGCTTTGTCGATGATATACCAACGCTGTGCATTGAGAAGACGCCCAATGCCGGTAAGAAGGATTCGCTCATTCTTTGCCACGACTTGTTCAACTTTCCGCGCTCAAATATGGACCAGACAATCAAAGATCTGCGCCAGGAACTGTGGTCGACCATAATTCCAGAGCTCACAAAGAGTCCTGACCTGAGCAAGTTCGACCTCGTCTTCTGCACCGATGCCGACAGCACAATCCATCACGGTGCTCTCGCAAAGCTTGCTGATGCGTGTCTGGCGGATCCGAAAGCCATAGCAGCATGCGGGTTCGTCTTCGTCGAGTATGAGCCAGGACTGGAATGGTCCTTGTGGAATCTGTACCAGCAGTTCCAATACAGTTTTGGCCAGATTGTTCGGCGTGGAGCAGAGCATTACGTTGGCAAAGTCACCTGTCTACCAGGCTGTATCACAATGATCGTCGTCCGTCCGGAGATGGCAGGCGCCATTGAAAAGTACGCGAAGCCCGTCACCACGTTTCCAGTATTGCGACATCAGGTCCAGTATCTGGGCACAGACCGACGCCTGACGTATTCGATGCTGTCGCAAGCGCCATACCTGCACACACTCTTCGTCCCGGAAGCTGGATCCGAGACTGTGGCGCCGCAGTCGTTGAAGCACTACCTCTCGCAACGCAGACGCTGGGGGTCGAATGCGTACTTCAACAATTACTTTTATTTCGCTGGCTCAAATATGATCCTCATCACCCGCATCGCCGCTTTGATCGAGATCAGTCGATTGAGCATGGTCTATTATCGTGTTTTCAACACCGGACTCTTCCTCTACGGCGTCGCAACCCATTTCGATGCCCTTGCAATTCTCCCACTTATAATCATCTCTTTCACGCCGAGCTTCTGGTTTGCTTTTGCGGTGGCTTTCCTGAACGATCACCTCCGAGCGAATTGGAAGAAGCTTTTTTGTGGGTTCTGTATCAACCGATGCATATCGCCATTCATGAGTATTACGGTGTTTAGTCTGGTAGCTAAGAACTTGGGTAGCCAGGTCTGGGGTATTTCTGGGGTGACTGCGGGCACGAATGTCACACCGGCTGCCGCTGTCGAAGTTTTGGCAGAGCGGCGCGCATCGATGACCGAGGAAGGTGAGGCTCCGGAGGCCGAGTCACCCAATTTCCATATGGAAGGCGTCATGGGATGATCAATGATAGTGATTAGAACTGTGAAGACGAAGTGGATCAGTCCTTGCGAGCCTTTCCATTGGTATGATTTGTCACCATGGCCTCTTTTCCACTCGTGATCTCGTGCACTTTCATGTCCATGCCAACACGGAACTTCTTTCCTCTCCATGCAACTTTCGTGCCTCCATAGAATGCCCACAGCCAGATTGGCAGTGTCAAAGTCTCTCGTCCGAGCCAAGCGAACAGCCACTCGCCAAAGGTCCTTTGACTCGAAGCCTTCGGTGGCGTGGCAAAGAATGGGGTGTCTTTGTCAACTTCGATCGATGCCCCGGAGTGTAGCTTCAGATACAGTGTTCGATCCATCGCGCACCATATGGTCACACTTGTAAGCCAGAAGAGAAAAAAGGCGGTCCATGTCTGAGGAACGGCAAGTGTGTCGTGGAAGAACGGCAGAGTCGTGACAGCGAAGGCACCATAAAGCGAGCACAGAAAGCATTCAGTACCGGGCTCGACTAGTGTGGCCAAAGTGACCGTGAACTTGCGCACTCGCAGCCATCGCACGCGGCGACTCCAGAACTCGCCGACGCTCATATTTGCCATGGGCTGGATGGCAAAATCGCCGAAGCAACAGGCATGCTTCCCCAGCTTTTCGCCTTGTGATTCTTCTGGAACCTTTTGCTTCCAGAGCAGGTCACCAATAAGATGATCTTCGCAAATGTTCTCACTGAAGTAATCGATACCCTCGTTGTGAGTAAGACTATCGAGATGGCTGCGCCTGAACATGGTACTCTTGCCTACGATACACGGAGCGAAGAGCACAGTATTGATAGCAGTGTAGAATTTGGCATGAGCCGAAGCCATGAATGCTTCTTCCAGCCTGCCGCCTCCCACGGTCCATGCAGTCCGCTCATGCGAGATGTCCAGCGTGAGCGGCGTCAAATGGACAAATTTGTTGCGTCTGGTCTCTCCTCTCCCTTCGAGCTTCGCCACCATTCTACCGCAGACACCCTTTGCCACCCAGACATTGCAGTCGATAATCCAGATGACGTCTCCAGTGGCCTCACGGTATGCGCGGCTCATATTACGGATCTTGGGATTTGGGCCGAGATGGTCGGAGTTGGCTTTGAGCACCTCATCGTCTTCTTCCAGCAGCAATTCTGCATCGTGATTCGGGAAGTCTGCCAGCAGCTGTCGAACAATTGGGACCGAGTGATCGCTGCGATCTGAAACGCAGAAGCGGATGTGTAACTTGTCGTTTGGGTAGTCTTGGCGAAATGTCGATGCTAGGCAGTCGTAAAGGCGGGGCTCCAGTCCTTTGATCGGCCGGATGACTGTGACATGTGGAGCGTTGGCAGGATCAAAGACAGCTGTCGGCTTTGGTTTGGAGTAATGTCGCCATAGCTGGCAGTATCCAATTGTGCAGACCAGAGCAACTGCAGCGTACCAGATCAAGCATACCGTGCCTGCCGCCAGTGTCACCGAGGAATGTTCATGGACGGGGACGGAGGAAGCTGCCTCCGAGACAGCATCCAGCGGCGGCATACGCTCTTGGAAACAGCCAGAGGGGACAGAATACGGGTAGGGTAGGGTAGGAGAAAGTGGTAGTGGTGGTGCGCATGTCGCGGCAGAGAATGCCCTGGTGAAGGTCCCGTAAGGCCAAATTTCGTGGCACGTGTTTGACGCGAGCATCCCTGCAATCGATCGGCATGGAGATCTGCGCCAGGCCGACATTGGAAATCTAAAGTAAACACGGACCTTCGCGTCACACCCTCGAATCTTATCGCAGCCATTGCTACTGGAGCATTGCTTGCTACGTAGGCGCATCGCGTTGCTAGACTCTCTACAGCTGCTCAAAGCATTTGGTCAAGCAACAGGTCTACAAAATGCAGTCTAGCCCGCCAGTACGCGCCTTTGCGCGACGCGACTCTCAGCCAGAGTCGGAATATTCGCTGGACCTGAACGCATTAGATCTGGACAACGACGACACCGACACCAGTATTCCGAAGCCAAATATCGAGCGCATTATGTCAGAAGATATTGAAGGCCCCAGCGACTTCACACAAAACATGGATATGTGGATGCGAGGCGGGAGCATCAAGAAGAAAGGCACGCTGAGAGGCAGGAACGCTACAGCACAAACGACGCGCGACTTCCGAGAAGAGGCGATGCGATCGCGGCACGAAGAATACGTGTCTGAGAACGATATCCGACGTGACTTTCTCGACGTGCCACAAAACGAGCTTCATCTTGAGGACGACCATACAGGAAGCCATCATACTCCGGAGAACAGCCCTCCCAAGCTGTCGGTGCTGAACCGAACGGGCGACGAGGAGCAGTTCAGCTCGGAGTGGCAGACTGATGGTGAAGGCTCAACTCCACAGCCACCAGCACATAAGCAGTTTCTTCCGCCGACTGTTGAGGATTACTATAGCGAGCTCACCACGGCACAGCAGACGCCAGGCCAATCTCGAGTTCGCACGTATGGCACGATCAATAGCAGTCTGAAGCAGACATTAGACGAAGAAGAAGAGGACAAGTCGACACCAGGACGTGCTTCTAGTCCAACCTTATCTCCCGTGCGATCGCCAATCCTACAGCGGAGCTCTACTCAGGCCACCCTACAACGCACTTCTACGCACGGCACATATGGTCGCGAGGCTGATCACAAGTCTCGCATGGAGATGGAGCAGCAATTCAAGCAGCTTGATGCAAAGTGCCAACAGCTGGAGCATCTGAATGATGTGTTGGGACATGCTCTAGACGAGGAGCGCCGGACACGCAAGCAGGAGCAGGTAAAGTACGAAACCAGCTCAGCTGAAGCCGCCCGTCGCGAAAAAGACCTTCTCGAGATGAAGGAAATGGCAAATCGACATAACGAAGAATTCCGACGAGAGTTTGCGCAGCTGAAGGAGAAGTTCGCCGATCAGCAGACTCTGGCGGAAATGGCTCGCAAGAACGCTTCTGGCGATGAGCAGACCCATGCTATCGAGGCGCAAGCGTTGCGCGGCGAGATCGAGAGGCTGAAGCTGGACCACCACCTGCAGATCAGAGGTCTGCAACAAGACTTGGAGATTGCCAATCGAAGCAGAACCGATGCAGAGCAGGACGTCCGAATGCTTCGGCAAGAACACGCAGGAGAGCGCGAGTTACATCAGGAGGAAGTCGCACGCCTCAAGGCCGAAACAAATCAGGCCCAGAAGACTGAGAACGTCCTCGCTCAACTGGAGCGGCAACTGCGTGAAGCCAGGGCAGAGATTGCACGCCTCAAGAGTAACAATGTCGAAGCAGTTGATCAACTGAAGACTGCCTCTGAAGAGCTCGAAGCCGCCAAGCACGGCCGCGATGATGAACTAGATCGAGCCGTTGTCGAGCGCAGCCGAGCTGTAGAGCTTGCTGCTGGATTCCAACGACAAATGCAAGAACTTCGGCAGCAAATGAGAGACGGAAAGGCTAGGCACGAATCAGAGATGGCCCGTCTACGCAACTCACATGAGCAAAATGGCCAGACGTCAACGCAAGAAATCGAGGTGATTCGCATGGAGCTCGAATCGAAGCAGGCAGATCTCAATACTGCCATATTCGAGCGTGACCAAGCACAAGACTCGCTTCAGAATCTGGCCTCGGAAGTCTCTAGCCTCAAGAAGAAGCTTTTCGACCAGGAATCTGTCAACTCAACTTTGGACCTGCGTGTCACCGATGCGATTAAGAAGCGCGAGACGCATTGGCGCGAGAAGCTGGAGGAAGCTAATCGTGAGCGCGAGCTGATGGCGAAGACTTTGTTGCATCAATGGGGTAAAGAGGAGGTGGGTGTTGAAAGTCCGCAGAGGTATGCGTACAAGTACCATTCCAGATCCAAGACCCGAAGCAAGAGCCCAGACAAGGAGAATCGAGATCCAAGCAGCCCGAGGAAGGGATCGAAAGCTACAGCGGCATGAGTGACGAATCTGCCTCGCTGGGACATCAGATCATTAGTGAGGCAGCATAGCGCAGCATCAGCATCGATAATTTCTGTCATTCATGATCTCAAATCATTATCCTATCATCAGCGTATCCTCAATCCTTTCACAACAACCCCTTCCTTGCCAACTCAATCTTCCTCAAAGCCTCATTCTCTTTAAACCCCCCTTTACTCACACACGCCATACTCCCCTCTCCAAACTCAATCTTATCCTCTTGTGCCGGGAACGCGCACGGACAATGGTGTGGGAAATGCACGCAGGATAATGTGTGAGGGCAGAGGTACCGATCGCAGCGGGCTACGCCAGCGTTAGCAAGAGTATGAGAATGAAGGTTTTTGGTTCGCTTCGCTCCTCGCTTACCAGCTTCGTAGTTTTGTTGATACCATTCCGAATCACTCGCGACGTTTTGAGGTTCTTGGTATTGCTGTTGTTGGTGGCCTTGATTGAACATGTTGCCGAAATTGAAGAATTGGGCGTTGGTGGAGCCGAGAAGGCTGCAGAGGATGAGGAGGAGGAGGTCGAGGAAGTCCATGGTGCTTGCTTGCTTGCTTGAGCGTGTGTGGTTGTGCTTGAAGGAAAGCTGTCCGTCAGGCATGTGTATGCGCCAGCATGAGGCTGCGTTCATGTGAGAATGATGGGGCTGGGCTTGGCTTGGCATTGCCGAAGGAGCGGAGAGATTTTTGATGTGAGGAGATTCGAGACTTCATCAGAACTTTTTGCGACCGCTGCAACGAAGTTTTATAGCTCGCAATCACCATATCGTAACGCAAGACGACGAATACGAACATCTCTCACCATGCATCTCATGTACACTCTCGATGAGCAGGGCAAGCGCCTGTATACCCTCAAGAAAGTCAGCGATTCTGGCGAAGTCACCAAGTCGGCGCATCCTGCTAGATTTTCGCCTGATGATAAGTACTCGAGGTAGGGAAGACGCGGTTAGGAATGAGATGGTGAAGGATGCTGATGGATAATTCAGACATCGAGTCACTCTCAAGAAGCGATATGGACTGCTTTTGACACAACAGAGTACGTGAAATCCTCGAATTAGGGTTGGAGAGATGTACTGACAGGTTTGCAGAGGATAAGATGGTGCTTGGACAGTAGAAAGGGAAGATGATATCTTGAAGGGTTAGCGAGGAGTCCGGGCGTTAAGAGTTTGTTTGAGGGCTATCAAAACTGGAAATACCTCGAGACATATGGCTCAGAGCAGAACATCGATGTGCTCTGGCGTCTCGAATGTATTTAGGTTTCACTCCCACGGTCGCTGCTTGCTGTCAATCTCCACATCCTTTCGCCGCAGCCAAGCAAAATCCACAGGCGCACGCATCGCTAACCGAAGTTTCCTCAGATTGATCTAGGATCAGCTCAACGCCTTGGCATTCTGAATTCCATCAGATGATCTCCTGAAGGTTGTCAGCAAGGAACTGAGGCTCTTGTCTGATGGTCAAGGTCTGCGTACTTAGTATCGAGAAGAGCGTGTGCACCATCCCAATTAACCCAGTGTGTGATGGAGCTGCCGTCGCTGTGCTCCAGCGTGACATCTAACTCGATGCAGCGACTGGTCAATGGCAAAAAGCAGCAGGACACAAACCAGCTTCTGCAAACAAAGAGGGCCGTCCCCTTGGCGCGTTCATTGTCCACAAACACTGCGCTCGTGCCCCGGTTCAGGCGGAAACGGGAAATGGTAAAGCGCTGGGTAACAGGCAGGCTATAAAGCCATTTCTTGGCGGTCTCGAAGGTTTTTCGAAAGTCCAAAGAACGACTAGCGAGAGTCATTTGAAAGACGGTGGTGCCATAGTATACTCTAGCAACGGCCTTTCTGGTGACGCGGTTGACGTGGAGCTGCCACGGAGGCTTGTGGGCTCTGGTGATGGTGACGACTCCTTGGAGTTTGATGCCGGCGATGAGCGTAGACTCGAGGATCTGGTCCTGCAGCTCTTGAGGAAGCGCCTGGATGCGCTCTTCGATGCTGGGGCGATAGGCGGAAGCGGCCATGTTGGCTGCAAAGCGCGATTGGAGTATTGCGCAAAATGTCGCCAATGGCGAAGGACAAGTCGCCTCGCGAATGTCGATGCTGTGCTGAGGCTGCCGTTGAAACTCCAAAATTTCGACGCCAAGATGCAACGTTTTACGCACTGTTCACTTTCACAGGAGACGCCGCAAGAGAAGAGAGTCAATGGCTATCCTGGAATTCGCCTGATCGCACATCTCGTTCACGCTCATAACGCAAATGGCATGGTCCCCAGAATCTTGCGTCACCAGGAACTTGTATATCCAAATGTCGCTTCCAAAGATCCGAATAGTAAGTTCGAAGCGAATGACTTGCGAGTTGCGCGGTTGACGCTGAGCTGCTTGGGTGTCTTGTAGAAGCGTAAGACTTCGATGACTTTTTTGATCTCGAGATACCCTAACGCGTCAGCTAGAATGCATCGCTCCAGCGGCGTTCGTTTTGCACGACTGATCAAGGAGCCACTGACAATTCAAGGACATGTGATTCCGGCTGGGGTACGTATCTAGGCACACTCAGGACCGTTCATCGTTCCAAGCTAATCCAGCGATAGACCGTCGGTTCTGCAACAGCAGATATCAGCCACATGGACGCAAGCATATATCCTGACCCCGATCATCTTATGCCTGAGGGGTGACTCAGTCCTATCCGAGATCCAATGCAATGCTATATGACAGCCGGATTTGACAAGCGATATTGTCCTGGCCAAGTGTAAGCGCAATCAACGATAGAACGAACTTGTTCTTGGACTGACATTGGTCATTGGACAAATTCACTTCGAGAGTGGAACTCCCAACGATCGCTGCTTTGGTCGATGCATTTGATTTCGATTTTGTTGAGGAGTCAGCGAAGGGAAGGTAGCTTTCTTGAGCTGTTTCCGCCGCCTTCTTCTAAATGTATGTTGGTGAGAGTAAGGGCCTCGAGAGCGTGGTGGTGATGGCCGCCGAGTTGCTGTGCGAAGACCTTGCAATTGCCTTGATGTGACGGCCTCGAGCTGCAAAGACCTCTTGAGCTCCAGCGAAACTAATTCTCCTTGCGTAATTCAGGCGTAAGGCACTCTGCGTAATATTAGCAAGACCTTTGACATCGAACGACATGAATGAAGTATGTACATACCATGGAAGTGCAGCAATTTCGCGTCGATCCAGCCATTTGAGCTCTTGTCCTCCACTCACCACACGCGCCAACACACCGGCGAGAAGACGAATGCTTCCAAAGTGAAAACCTTGTGAGGTCCAGACATTCTCATGCTGCTGCAATGCCTTCACGATCTGGCGTCGAGTGATGAGTGAGTGTTTGAACTTGAGCTCCTTGATGAGGCTCAAGTGCTCTGGCGAAACGCTACGGATCCAGAGAAAGCTGGACCATGTTACGAAGTTGCGCCGACCGGAGAAGTTAACGATGAATTCGGTATTCGAGTAGTATTGTGTCGCGAGCTTCTTGCGTGTAGCGTGATTGATGGAGAGTGCTGTTGGCGGCCTGTAGTCCTCATCGATGATTACTGTTTCGCCGGCCTCGAAGGAACCGAGAACGTAGTCGAAGATCGAGTCTTGAAGTTCCTGAGTGAGGGCTCGAACGCGGCGTTGCACCTCTTCGAAACGCGGGTCGGTTAAGGTGAGCGCTTTCATGCTATGTTCTAGCTCCATCACGCGGTAGTTGATTGCCATGTTAGTGAAAGCCACAGGAATCGAAGCTGTCTAGTACTGAAACTGGGACGCGAACGGGTTGCGGATAAGTCATAGAAGCGAGTGCCAAGACTTCACAAGCGTGGCCAATTTGCTAGCGCCAAATAAGTGAGTGGGGCTCACATTGAGAAAACATGTAGCTAAGCAACCACTGACAGTCGTCAATGCTCTACGCTACCGTCGGAGTACCTCTATGAAGCTTCTCCCAGCGTTAGATGCTTGATCTCTTCTAAAAAGTGTGGTGGCTAGGATGATGGCGAGCATGTCACATCCATGCTCTTCGCCTGGGAATAAGAATTGGGAAACTTTTCGAGAGTATCCCAAATTTGGCTCGATTGCGGTCGTGAAGTCTAGGATCATGTCTTGCAGCTCTCACGCGAGCGCTTGAATGCTGTCGCACAGTGTCTTTTCCTCCGCAACCTCCATCTTGATGCAGGCACCAGTCAAGGATGGAGATGGTTGTTGACGGTGGCCAGCTTTTCTGCGTTGGGGTGGAGTGTCAGGGTTATGAGGAACAGTGCTGAGGCTAGCTTATATAGTATTCAGCCCGCGATGGCTATGCGCGGTTCTCACGATCAACTGAAGTTGCCAAAGCGAAGCATGGGAAATGTGAATTGTTTTCTACAGCGCAATTCTTACAGCGCACTTCAATTGCATTGTGTCGCCTTCTCGCCGCTTGCCGGTGCCGTTGCCCAGGGGCAAATTCCAGTTCGCAGGAGAATACTGGCCAGTCGGCGCATTTCTGCCGTATAGATTCGTGAATAAGTTGCAAGCCGACCATGGCAGCTGTTCCGATGCTCCCCAAAACGCCGTCGCTATGCCAAGTTCATTCGACGTCCCAGTGAAATGCTTCAAGAGAGCCCCACTACCGTCTACCACCAGCTCCACCACCGCCCATGCCGCCCATCCCACCAAGCATGCTCATCATCTTCTGCATGTCCATGCCTCCTAGGTTTGGCATTCCGCCGCCTCCTCCACCTCCACCCATCATCTTCATTATTGAGTTCATATCCATTCCTCCCATGCCTGCACCGCCTTGGCCCATACTCTGCATTCGTTTCTGCATGGCAGCCATCTGCTGTTGCTTGTTACCAGAGCCCATCATTTGCTGAGCCTTCTGCAAATTGCCCATGTTGCCCTTCATCTTCTTTGCCATACCAGCCATCATGCGCTGTTGAGTGAGGAGCTCTTCCACTTCTCGCACAGACGTGCCCGACCCTCTCGCCACCCTAGTAATACGTGTCGGCTGCTCTACGAACATCTTACCATCTGAGTCGAGTTCCTTCGCAGTCATCGAGTCGCAGATGTAGATCATTCTCTTCAGCTTCATACCGCCCTCTTCGTCGTCCATCTGGCCCATCATGTTGCTGAGACCAGGAATCATGCCAGCCATCTTCGACAGTGGTCCCATCTTCATGATGTTCTGCAACTGGTCACGAAGGTCTCGCACGGAGAATTTGCCTTCTGTAATGTTCTTCATGGTCTCCTTCTGGTCCAACTTCAGACTCTGCACGTGCTCGACCAAGCCTTGCATGTCTCCCATGCCGAGCAATTTCGAGACAAACGATTGCGGGTTGAACTTCTCCAGATCTAGCAAGTGCTCTCCAGTACCGATGAAGACGATGGGTGTATGAGTTGCTGCGACAGCTGAGATGGCACCACCTCCCGCTGCTGCGCCGTCGGTTTTGGTAATGATGATGGCTCCAAAATCTGCTGCATCCTTGAACTCCCTGCTTTGCGACTCGGCTGCCTGACCTATGGATGCGTCCAGGACCATGATTGTCTGATGGGGCGATACTGCATGCTGGATGTCTTTCATTTCTGCAAAGAGTGCGGCTTCCTGGTGATGGCGACCTGACGTGTCCACAATAATGATTTCGAACTTCTCCTTCTTAAACTTCTCTACACCATCTCGAGCCACCACCGCAGGATCTGTCTGGGTCAGAGAGCCGTAGTATGGAATCTTAGCCTTGGTCGCGTTCTGCTTAAGCTGGTCAAACGCTCCTGCTCTGAAGGTATCCGCACAAACTAAGCAGGTCTTGAATCCTCTGGCTTGATACCATCTTGCCAATTTCGTACATGTTGTCGTTTTTCCTGCACCCTGCAGACCAACGAACATGATGACATTGCTCTTGCCTTTCTTTGGCTGGTACGGGTTCTGGTGCGGGTTTACGATGTCGACCAGCGCATCGAAGACGGCTTTCTGTATTATGCGCTTCTTGTTCGCGTGCGGTGGGAGGTCGTTGAATTTTACTGTGCCTTTGATGGTTTGTCGGAGGTTCTTGACCAGTCCAACGTTGACATCGGCTTCCACGAGAGCATTGCTGATCTCCTTGATCATTCCATCAAAGGCCTTTTCGTCGAGTGTTTGCGCTCGAGTCAGGTCGTTGACGGCGGCGTTGATTCGCCGCCCCAAGTCTTGTAGGACCATCGCCGAGGTGCTTTAGCTGTGGTGACTATTGCGAAGGTCGAGCTCTTGCTCTTACAGTCATTGCACAAGTGATTTCAGTGGACAGTTCGTGGGAGAAGGTGATCGATCGAGGTCCATGTGGGGTCAGGTCAGCGCCGCAGCGGAGGCTTGGCGTTGATGCTCTTCGAACTTGGAAGCGAAGAAAAAAGTCCACCATCCTCGAGACCACCTTCACCACCTCGCAATCACACAAAAATGGCGCCAATTGCAGGAAAGAAGCGTCGCATTGAAGACGAGGTGCGACCGAAGAAGAAAAAATTCATCAAAAAGCAAAAGACATACCACAGCTCCTCGGAAGACGAGGAAGACGGGCCTGCACAGCGAGCATCGGATGCGCCCGCGCCAAAATATGTCCTGAAAGCGAAGGAGACTGTGAAAAAGTCTGAGATACATGTAGGTACAACGACATCCAAGCCGAAATCGATATTGAAGCGCGTTGTCCCGGCACCAAAGCCGCCTTCCGAGCCTTCCGAGCCTTCAGCATTCGGCGATGACAGCGAAGATGCAGAGGAGGAAGCGGCGGATGGAGGAGTGGACGTGCTTGAGAGGAATACCGCCCTTAACGGCCTGCCAGCAGAAGGTTCTGAGAATGATGACGACGACGGACTTCCAGAGAACGACGAACCAGATCTTGATCAGGCAACTTCAGCCTCTGATTCAGAATCTGATGGGCACGCCTCAATCACTTCCTCCCAAGCCCGAACGAAGAAGAAGCGAAATGATCCAGATTCAATGGCAACAAGCATGCTCAAAATTCTCGACACGAAACTAACTGCATCCAAACGAGCCAATCCTCTACTCAGTCGCAGCAAGACCCCTGCCGAAGCTGATAAGCAACTCGCGGATGCAAAACTCGAATCAAAAGCTCGAGCGCAGATACGAGCAGAGAAGAGGGCACTGGCAGAAAAGGGCCATGTCGCAGATGTTCTGGGCCTTCAAACACCGAATGTGGATACAGGAGCAATATTGGAAGAGGAGAAAAGGCTCAAAAAGACGGCGCAAAGAGGTGTGGTAAAATTGTTCAATGCTGTGAGGGCGGCACAGGTCAAGGCTGAGGAGGCAAGAGCTGAGGCGAGGAAGGAAGGCGTGGTTGGCATGAAGAAGAGGGAAGAGAGGGTTAACGAGATGAGCAAGCAGGGTTTTCTCGACCTGATATCGAAGGGAGGCAAGGCTGTAGAGGCATGAACGTATCACGCTGCACGGCGATTGATTACGAAGTGCCAACTTGAGCAGTGGCATCCATTCGAAGTGCAAATCTGACGCATACGTGGACGCCAACTTTGCAAATAATCCTCTGAGTGGCTGTCCGCTGATAGTCAAGGGCATGAACCGAATTTGTCGCCATCTGGCCATGTACCTCGCGATCGGATTTGAAACGCTGGAAGAAGGACGAAATATGAACGGCATCGTGTTTCCGCGTTCCGAAAGCTGACACCCTTGTACCTGTCAGACTGTCAGACGTTCTGATGGTAACAGGGGCATAAGCTGTGCTTACCTGGAGTTACTTCAATGGCTGGACGGCCTCTCTGGGCGCGCCTCGATAAGAGAATTGATATGAACCTGCCCTTCAAGAGCTGGACGGGAAGGGCAGTAGACTGAAAGAGCCTCTCGCGAGCATAGCGCCCTTCTACAGACCAAGACTGGGTGTAGGGCGCTGCGTGTGCACTCACTACCAAGCTAAGCACCCTCATTGGAGCCACACCTTATCGTCTTCCATCGACCGCAATGCCGCACCTCGAACCTGACCACGTCCAAAATTCTGACCTCCCAGAACTTGCCGGAGAATCAGTTCAGCCTCCACCAACCTATACCGACGCTACCGAAACCCAGCACCCAAACACGACCCGAGTCATTCGGCAACCAGTCGCACGTTCACCAAGCACCCTTTCATCACTCTGCCACATTTACGTCTTCTACACAATTGTCCAATCCAACGACAAATCCGACACGGCCGCAAAACGCATCACACTAACCTCATCTTCTACATTTGAAGACTTCCAACTCCAGCTTCGACAGCTATACCTCGAACTTCCTGGCACGAATCGTGACAAAGCTTTCACGTGGTCAACATGGTACTATCCGGGCAATGATAGAAACATCGAATCTGCAGAGAGGATTTTGGTTTGTGAAGAGAATTGGAAGGAGCTCAAGAAACCGATTCTGAAGATGAGGTCTGAGAAAATGCCCTCGGGAAAGGGTTGGGAGTCGGGATTGAGGTTGAGGACGACTGTAGTGGTAGCGAGGTGGGCGGAGAGGCAGAGGGTGAAGGATGTTACGCAACTGAGAGTGCCGACTGCGAAGCATAATGCTAATGATAGCGTGTTGCTAGCGCAGGGGAGGTATGTTGCTGAGCCAGTGGTTGACGAGAAAGGGTGTGTGGTGATGTGACGTCTTGCTACAGGGGATAACACGTCTGCTGTGGATAGATGCTAAAGCAGGCTGCTGCAAGACAGTCTTGTGTGTTCCACTATAATACAGCATGCAGAGAAGCACTTCATAGACGTGGCAAATACGACCGTGGCGCCGTTTTACTTTTCTCTCCGCGACGAGCGACGGCAGACATGCCAAGGCTTTCTATTCCCTCTCTTCCGACAAGTCGCCAACACACGCGTATCGGACCATGTATCGCTGGGAGCACATAATCCTACATCCATTTAGCAGCACTAAACGTCCGCAGCATTAGCAACAGCGTCTTATTCTTGCCTTCTCTGCAGAATCATATAGCCACCCGTTGCAATGTCTCCAGGCAAAACTCCCGCTTCCTGCAAGATTGACACGGTCTGTGTCATCACACTATCTTTCACTCCCCTCACATCTTCCGGAAACACCACAGTCTTCATCCACTCTTGAGCATCCTCTTTACTGTAACGCATGGTACTGGTAATATATTCCACCGCCTCGGCCTTGTTCTTCCTATAGTGCGCAATCCCGTCATTAATCGCACCTATCATCCTTTCCGCATCATCCTCAAAACCGTCATGCGTGCGAGCCGCAATCATCCATGACGGCCATGGCGTATATCTCTCCCCAATTCGCTTCAGCTCGCCAGTATCCCAGAAATGTTTCGTCGTGAAGTGTTCCCACATGAAGAAATCTGAAGTCGTATCTGGACCGACGCTCTTTCGCAACGCAGCGAAATCTCCGATTGGCACGACGTCAAATGGCTCTTTCGACGGCTCCAACCAACCTCGCTCCTCTGCTAGCACGAAAGACATTACATGGCTTCCGCTACCTATTCTGCTCACCCCTACTCTTTTGCCTTTGAGATCGCTGACGTCGTTGATCTCAGAGCGTTGAGCGCCGGTCACGATTGCCCATCGCAGCGGTGATTCGACATATGTCCCTAGGAGTCGGTACTTGGGAGGCCATACGGTGTCTTCGTCTTTGCCTAAATCGGCTACGAAACCTTCCGTGAGACCGACTGCTGCCTCGATGCTGCCGGCTTTATGTCGTGGGGCTCTCAGGGCAGATGCAAGAGCACCTGTGCCGGTCGGGAAAGGTACGAGCTCTGCGTTGAGCTGGTAGTGTTTCTGGGCGAATGCTAGAGGTGTCCTGAAGTGTTCTGTAAGTCAATGATCAGATCATCTCTGTTATGCTCAAAGCTGGATATGCAGGTGAATGGCTCTCACCAGGTATATATCCTACCCTGAACCTCTCTGCCCTCGCCTGGCGCGTAGAAGAAAAGCTACGGAGACCTCTTGACACTCTTTGAAAGCCGTTTGACATGGGCATGATGTGGTATTGGAGAATGACCAGCAAGTGCTGCTATTGCCTTCATCGAGGTCTGGTTCGGTGTGGGCTGTTTGTTTGTTTCCATTCCCATGTCGCCGAAGCCATGCCATGCCTCCAGATAAGATTCCCGATCCGCTCCGTAACCTAAAGTTTGGCGGGGTGACGTGGGGGCTTACTTCTTGCTCCAGATAAATTGCGACCTCGCCCTTGCGAGAGTGTCACTGTCACCATCTTCTCTCTTTTGACGTCGCATGTTCGCGTAGCGTAAGCGTAAGCATGGTACATATGTGTTTGCTGGAGTAATCTGCTCGACGCGCCCATTCGTGCAGTCAGGAGAAACATGGCGAGTCTCGCACTGAGTGGCTTCAAATGTGGCGCCAGCCTCAGTCTTGGGCGCGAACCAGGGTGAAGCAGCTGAACAGCTCGATGGCATCAGCATCAGCGCCCTTCCAGCGTGAGCGAAGAGTCCTTTTCAGAGTGTATTGCACTATACGATGAAGCGGCGATACCCGCCTTCAGACGATCCAGGCCAGTTCCTGAAGGTTCCACGATTCGGGACTGTTGCATCACGATACTTTTCAGTTCAAAGCCGTACTGTGCCACCAACCGAGAGATCCTTGATGAATGGGTTCGCCAAACTCGTAGAGCCGGGTCCGCTATTTCGACTTTACAACATGAACACGGGGGACCTTGAGTTATGGCCCTTGGACAACCACCCAGACTACATTGCCGCCTCACATACTTGGAGCGAGAATGTGTTTTCTCCTTCTTTAGCATTCGAGAACTGCTTTGGAGGCCAAGGTATGCAGGCTGTGATAACGGACCGATATCCTGACATTCACCACGCGTGGTTTGATACAAGATGCATAGACCAGAACGATCCGAACGACAAGCTAGAGCAGATCCCACTGATGGATCGGATTTTTGGCAACGCAACGTGTGTTGTGATCTTCATATCCCGCGATCTGGAAATAGACCAGTCGTCGATAGACTGGTTAGCCGAGAGGATCGAAGGTGCACTGGCTATGTGCCTTGCGGAAGCGTGGGCCGAGGAAGGTGCATATTGGCAAAATGGTAGTGGGCGTCGATGGATTACAATGGCTATGGAAGGTCTACTAAGACTTGCAAGCACATCCTGGGCTACTCGAATCTGGACGTTGCAGGAGTACGTCCTCGCGAAAGAAATTCTGTGGATTGGAACCGACTTGAGCCCAATTAAGATTGACGACTATGCGCTGTCGGCATTGCCGGATATCTGCAACACTCTGGCCATTGAAGAATGCCTGACACCAAAGTTCGATGTCCTACATGGCTATTTCGCTGGCATGGCAAATGCTCGACTCAAGAACATTGATCAAACACGGATCATGGAACTGCCAGGCAACCGCAGCGCCTCGGTCGCTGTCGACGAGGTGTATGGCGTGATGGCCGCCGCTGGTGTAACCGTACTACCCATGGCTGATGAAACAAAGGGTCAAGCGTGGTCTCGCTGGTGTGCTGAAGCTATCAACACTGGTCATCTTCGTTGGGCTTTGCTTCCTGCCTCTTCATGCCCACTTGTCGATGGCGAAGTCGGATCATGTGCATTTCCGAGATTCTTGCAGCGGCATAAGCTTTCTGGCATATCAAGCTTGAACCACGTAACACCATTGGCACTTAGCGAAGCTGCTCATGGTGTTGTCACTGCCCATGCACGAGTTCTGGGCAGCGTTGAGATAACCCATCGTCTCGGTCGAGTCCACGAACCGAAGCCGGGACGCATCCATCGCGATATTACGTTAATCATCTTTGCAAAAGCGCGATGGTCACTTGCGCTGACGCTGGCTTGGACTTTTGGCGGTGCTGGTCTGGGTACCCGCCAAGCCAAGGCAATCGCGCAAGTCCTGGTGCAAAGCTATTCTCGAGCCATCTGGAGCATTTCGCAAGCCGACGAGGACAACTTTCGACCCATGGTCAGCAGCAATTTCCAACAGCGAGTATGGAATGATTTCATGGCTATGCAACAATCTCATATGCTCGGCCTGCAAGAAGGTGTTGGCTATGCCTGCCATCTCGCGCGAAGGGATAGTCCATTTCCTGCGATTCCAGCCGTGCTTGTGACCGGCTATCAGCCCCCAGCAGGTTCTCTCCAGGTACTTGATTTGAACGCCAGAACTCCAGATGGTGGAGTAGTACTCATGATTGTGCAGCGCGATGGGTCTGGCGGAGCGAAGGATAATTACCACAAAGTAGGGATGACGCTGCCATTGCCCGAAGCTGTGACACGAATGATAGGCATCGTGCCTTCGCAAAAAGTGCACATCGGCAGCTACGACTGCAGTGTTTGTTGCAGAGCTGAGAAGGCCACTGAGTGTGTGAACATTGCAGATATCGAGAATGCCGTCAAGAGCCTACGGCAGTCCACCGTCCGACTGCTCACGAGACAGCAGGAGACTTTGCGCATCAAGCTCTTCTCAGAGCGACCACTCCTAACGAGAAAGGGGAATCAATCGGTGTGCACTCGAATCAATCACCGAAAACTCGCTGCTATCTTCCGTCTCCGGCAATCCAAGTTGATGTCACACTCGCGAAGCCAATGACAGCCTAAACACGCAGCAGGGTTGCAATTGCGCGTGATTATTGCGAGACCACCATCTTCGAAACACTGATCGTGCCAGCCCTGGGACGTCTGCAGCCTCAGACTGCAGGTCTGCGAGATAGCCATACTGTACTGTATACGGCGTACAGAGTATAGCTAGAGCCAGAGCCTCGTACCAGCTCGCTTGGCAGGGTGAGAGGTTCACTTGGGTATTCTACTGCAAGGTTGTTGTAGGGTAGGTAAGGTTCCCAGGGTCTTGGTCGCCGACGCTGAGACGAAGGTTCAACGGATTCGAAAGTCCCGGTCGCCTCCGTGCTACCTGAAAAGACTTCATTTTTGAAGACTGGATAGCATATCTATGTCGAGAAGACATACTCTCGGAGGCCATTGGAACTGTAGTGCGAAGATGGCGCTGCTCTCTGGTACCAATCTCCGAATGTATAGGCTGCTTTTGACGCACAAATCGATGACCGACAAGATGGTTTGCGTGATTTTGGTAACTAGACGCCACTTGGTTTATATGGAGAACCACCATGTCGCCGAACTCTGCCTATTCCCCGAAGAGCCTCAGATGCTGACCTCGAACCATTTCACACTCTGCATTTCCAGCGTCATTTCAAGTCAAGCACGCTGTCTTTCTGCATTCATAACCGAGCTGTCCACAGCAGGCGGAGATTCTTTCTCTTAATTGTTAATGGACACTACTGAGGAAGCGGGCGGCTAGGAATTCGATCCAGCTCGACGCAAGATTACCTATCTTTCCAGGATCCCGAGATACATTACTCACGTGTCACCATCGTATACAGCTGTCTAAAACAATCCATTATTGAGGCGTCACACAGTGCACAATGAACATGGCCACACAGCGGCCGTCGCCGCTGGCATGCATTGAATGTCGAAAGAAGCACCTCAAATGCGACGCAGTTACGCCTATCTGTACACGGTGCAAGGATCGAGGGCTCCACTGTAGCTATACGCCTTCGCGCCGTGGGTGTGGAGGCCGAGCCAGACGACAAGCTCCGTCTACGCAGCCATTGACAGATTCGCCCTCACAACCGCGACAGCCTTCATTCAGCACGCAACTACCTCCTACACCGGCATATGATCCGACAGAGTCGTTATCCAGCATACGAACCTCTTCACCAGATCCTTCTTGGAACCATGCCATTACGACAAGCAGAGCAGAAAGCACTGATCCGGGCAATCAACCAGTGTCAACACCAGGATCGGACAGTTCGCCGAAATCGACGCTTCGATCCGAAGACGAGCATTTGACAAATCTATATTACAGCAGCTTTCACCCAAGTCACCCAATTCTTGTCCCTCGATCACGCTTTGCCAGCCAGAACTATTCCGACCACCTGAGAACAATCGTCAAATTCGTTGGATCGCACTATGCACCAAACATCTCCAGCGACACATACAGAATGGCGGTTGTCAATTTGATGGCAGGTGCTAGTGACGAGCGCAGTCCTGAGACGATCCAAGCATTGGTCATTTATGCCATCGCTGTGCATGCACGCTACGAACCTGGCGAAGCCATGACAGCAATCACAAAAGCTGCAGACATCGCGATCAGCTTGGGCATGCACCGCGCAGAATATGCAGAGGCTCATGGCTTCAACGACCCGGTTGTGGAAGAGTCGATGCGACGGACTTGGTGGGAGCTATTCATAGCTGACGGCTATCTGGCATCCTTGCACAGGCACACAACATTCAGGAGCAACTCAGTAAATTCCACCGCATATCTACCTTGCGAGGAGAGTCTTTATGGGAACGGACTGGTAGTATCAGAGCATGCGACTATTGATCAATTTGATAGCAGACACTTTGCCGACGAGGAGCGGCAATTCTCGTCGTACTGCTACAGGATCGATGCCATCCGAATCATGGCGCGGGTGATGGCAGTCTCGACCGAGAATGAGACGCATGCAGATACGATCCAGGCCATCGACAATGCTATTGCCGCGTGGAAATTCAACTTGCCAAATGAGAAAGCTGGAATCGTGGACCACACTGGAGCAGTCGATCCAGTGATGTTCCAGGCATTTCTCTACATAGGATGCGCGAGCATATTCCTTCACTTTCCGCGATCTGAGCTGCCCATCTCCATGCCAGCAGCCGCAGAGATCCAATGCGCACAAAGACACATGGCACAAGTCTCCCCAACCTCGACGCAGCACGCGGCGAAAGCTCTCGCAGCATCCAAAGACTTGGCAAATCTGGCGTCTTTGCCGATGGACAAATACTCGCCCTTCTTCATCTGCGGCCTTGTTTTCGCGTGCGTCGTTCAGCTTTCCGCATGCTCTGCATATCCGCGTGGAAGCACCGGGCAGAATCGCGACCGTGTCGCGTTACTTGTCGGACTTCTGAAGAGCCTGAGTCGCCACTGGTCCATCGCCAAGTACGTCGCGCAACAGCTAAGGAGAGCAGCGAACGAAATCTTCAATCCACGACCGGACGCTGTTACCAGCGCTCATAGCAGTAACTCGACGTATGATAGTAGCATCGATGTCAACAACTTCCCTTCCGACATCTCTTGGTTCGACATGTTCTACAATGATGGAATGCAGGGCGTGCAGGTGCAAGCCATGGAGCTGACCGGGTTGTGAGAGGGCCTACTCTCATACATACATGTTCTCTACTCAAAGTCGCAACACATCCCTTTCTGGTTCTAGTCATTTCGGAATGACAGCAGGCAAGACGACCAAAAAGGCGCCTCTGGGCACGGCAGAGCCAACCCACTGTTGATGAGCACGACGATGGTAAAGACATCATCCTTCACCACGAGCAAGATTAAAGAAAGATTCAGCACATCTGACGGTCACGCTGTGCGAATAGAGGACACTGTGCGTCCTTCAGCATAGCAAGCACGAACAAATGGCAAGTGAAAAGCCAAAGCTTGCCGAGATCTCGACCGTTGACTGATTGATGTAGATATCGATGCACGCAGGCTCCAGCATGTAAGAGACGAAAAGCGCTGCAGTCCCTCATGTCCACAAGAAATTGCGCCCAAGACGCATATAATTCTCAAACGCTCGCTTCGCTTTGGGTATCAAAAACAGACTCCAAAAAAATACCGAACCCCTCCTCAACGGCACGCATCAAACACTCCGCTCATCACCCACCTCCTCATTCTCCGCCGCATACTTAATCACCAACTTCCTCTTCTTCCTCTTCTCCTCCCACCACCTCACCTTCGAACCCTCCACCCCCTCACAAGAAACCGGCACAAGCCTCGCCTTCCTTTGCGGCGCATCATCGTGACTCGTATAAATCCTATACGCCCTCAAATCTCCCAAAAGGAAACTCTTCTCCCTCCCCTCCTCCAACTCCCCAACACTCGTCCTCCCCGCAAAAACATGTCTCCCAATCACAAACGCCAAACTCCCACTCCGAAAATGGAGCACCGTCACTTTGAGCCAACCGATCAAAAATTCCCGTCCATCGGAGAAATCTTGGGTGTGGAATTCGAAATCCGGAGTCCAGGATGAAGAGTCATTCATACAAAATTTCCTTCGGAGAACTCTTTGCACGGCGGCCATGTTCCTCCCAATCGTGACGCGCGGAGCCACGCCGGTTTTCTCGAGCAGGCGCGCGCGGATGTACCAGGCTGAGGAGGCGTGGTGGGGGGATTCGTGGGTGTGTAAGATCCGATCGACGCGGTAGTGATTTTGCGTGACGACGGAAATCATGCGGTCGGCGGCGATTGTTGAGATTTTGGTGCTGGAGGGGGGGTTGTCGAGATGGGGGTCGATGATGATTGCGTGGAGGGTTATGGGGTCTGCGACGAGGTATTGCCAGGTTTCTGTGAGTTCTTCGAAGAGGGTGTGGATTAATGGGGTTGGTGGGTCGGGGGGCTTTTCGGAAGTTGTGCTGGGATTGGATGATGTGGTGGAGAAGAGGGAATCTCGGTGGTTGTGTGGCATTTCTTCTTCTTCTTCTTGAGGAGTGGGTAGATGTTGTGGCACCGAAGGGTGTTGTTTTCGCGCAAAGTGGTCGTGGGGTCGAATGGGTCGCAAGATGGGATGGTGAAGAGCTGAGCAACAGAGATGAAGTCCTTCCTCTGCCAACGCCATGGTTGATGTGCTACTATTCCGGGCCTGAACCGGCTTCCAAGGTTATGGATTTTCGGGGTGAGAGAAGTAGCTTGTGCGTCGATGTTTGGCGCAGGATGGCTGGTATTGGACACGGAACTCGTCATTTCCCTCACTCCTATACTACATGTTTCTGATCTCTTTTGCGCTTGCTAGCTAGTATTGCACCCTTCACAATTCCCCCAAGCCATGGCTGCGTTCTAGTCACCTGCCACGAGGACGCGTGCAGGCGGGTGACAGCAGACGGTGCAGGATTTGATACCTTGGACTGGAAGTTTACAGGCGTGCCGTCTTTTGTAGAGCAGGCGTATTTGTTCGCTTGTGCAAGCGTGTGTCGCATGCTCGTGCCACTAGATGCAGGGATACGAGGGCGTCGGTAGTGGCTGCGGCAAGGACCAGTAGGAGCCGGACTTGCTGAACTGAGCCTGGCCTTGGTTGGTTTAATTTCCAAAGCCTGATCACACGCGTATTCTATCTGATTCGCAGCTATATCAGGCTACAGTATAACCGTCATTCTCGTGGCTAGATAGTGCGCCTAACGTCATTTCGTTCGTCGTTGCGCCAGCCGTCTTGCTGTCTATTACTGCCATTGCCGTCGACCACCCAACGAGCCTCATATGGTTGCAGAGCCATGTACTTCATCGACACCTTTGGGAACAGACACCTTTCTCCAGAATGCGAATGGCACGCAGCCGACTTTCCGCCGCGCCCTGGTCAAAGAAACGACTGCAACCTCCACGGATAACGGCCGAATGTTTTCGACGATCTCAGCTCTCAGCAGTGTGATGGAGCTTAAGAGGGCATGGACGGCGAAGCAAGAGCTGGGAAGATGAGTTCAAGAGCTGTGGATCTGGTCTCAGGCAAGCACCGTGCAATAGGAATGCTTCCACATCGCCGATGCATCATGTCACACAGCAGCCTGCTTTCAGAGACCAGTGCAAGTGGCAACATGCGTTGTGTACCTGCGCTGTCTCTCTGTCAGCTGTCACATGTAACGTGAGTTCGAACCCAGGTCCAGCCACAGCCACGAGCGCGTGAGTGAGTGAAGAGAGACGACACGCGACAGAGCAGCTTGCTGAGCCATTTTCGCAACCAGCCGACGTGCGTACAGTGCAGCGCGTTCCTGCATGTCGCAAGTGTCCGATAAGAGAGCGTTGGGTTGCACAGATGCGTGATGAACCTCATGCGGCAGATCGAGCGGTTGTCCATGCTCGATATGCGATGTCCATCTGAGAAGATCTCACCTGCCTACACATCGAGTGCTGAGAGAGTACACGCCAGCGGCAAGTCGCGTGAAGGGTTGCAGGTGGCTGCGCTATTTTGATATGCACGCCCACAATGGGATATGATGGTCTTGAGAGTTAGTCTCACGATGATGCTCGGCTTCCAGCATCAACACCATGTCGCAAGGTACGACATGGCATGTTCCGACGTGAGACAACGTTCAGCCAGCTTGCAGAGCGGAAGTGGTCGTGATATGTTATTCCACTCGAACGAGAGCCAAGCGGCAGAGAAGCAGTCGGCTTTCTCTCGTGACATCGGAAACAAACAGTGGGCCAGAGAAGCTTCCAGCTACCGAACTCTCCCGTATCTCTTCCTTCCAGCCTCGGCGTCCTTCTTCACTTTGTCTACAGGAAAACAGGGCTTTCACACGGCAACAGAGTGTATCTGGTCTTTCGCAGCGACACAGAGCACATGTCTCTGCTGCAGCGAGTCACTTCAATCGAAGGAACAGATCGGGAAGCACCCCGCGTCGACGACGCCAAGCATCTCGGCTATGGAACAGTCAAGAGCCTGAGGAGAGTCATCTCCTACGATGTCATCGCAAACCCAGCAGAGCACTCACAAGCAACCTTCCCGGAACATGGCGTCACCACCTACAAAGTCTCGACAGCAAAACGACTTGGTGCGTGCATTGCCAACTGACCGCTTTCCCGCCATGCACACTGACTTCTCCACGAAGCCCAGGTGATAATCACCGTCGTATCGTGCTGGCTCGCTTCGGGCATTGTTTTCGGGTTTGCAGCGCTGAAGCCGGTTCTCATCGACCAAGGAGTGTATCGCGACCTGTGCTCCGCCGAAGAGCTCGAGCTCGGCCTCGAAGTGTGTTATGAGCAAGACTTGCGGTGAGCATTCGACCAGGACAAATCCCTACTTGGCATCGCTGACAGAAATACAGCTTGAACCTATTCTTTGCGATAGCATCGACGACGGCGAACTTTTCCGCATTGCCAGTTGGCACAGTGCTTGATAAGTATGGTCCGCGAGTGGCGAATATCATTGGCAGCGTCGCTCTTGCCGCTGGCAGTCTTTTGATGGCCACGGCATTCATGCTACCTGAGTTCGATGGATATGTCGCTGGCAATATCCTGCTCTCCCTGGGAGGCACTTTCATTTTCGTGCCGTCCTTTCAGATCGCAAATGCCTTTCCGAAATATGCCGGGACCATCGTGGCCATCGTCACCGGCGCCTTTGATGCATCTGTAAGTGCTCTCAGGACAGCATCGAGAGTCTCCCTGCTGATGTACTTACCAGGCTGCTGTTTTTCTCTTCTTCCGTTTGGCTTACGAGTCTTCACATGGTCGATTCTCCCCTCAGAAACTCTTTTTCGGCTTCACTCTCGTCCCAATTTTGATCTGCATCTTGCAATTGACGATCATGAATGCGAACTCGTACAAGACACAAGCGGAGCTCGAGAGGAAGATCGAGAAGAACCAGGATGCGACTCGTGATGTTCATGACTCTGATGATGAGCTAAGCGACCGTGAAGCTCGCCGCTTACGTGAACGAAGACGAGACCATCGTGAATCGAACTTGGCTGAGCTGGACAAGCTGCTCGGCGATGCCGAAGAGAGACAGCACCGAGTTGAAAAGCAAGAAGAACGACAAGCGACCAGTGGCGTCTGGGGCGCACTGCATGGCAAGTCCTCGAGAGAGCAGATGTTGTCGCCTTGGTTCATTCTCATTACCCTTCTCACTGTTCTTCAAATGCTGCGAATGAATTTCTTCATTGCCACCATTCGGGCGCAGTACGAATATCTGCTCTCTTCGGAGAAGCTGGCGCGAGCGGTAAATTCGTTCTTCGATGTGGCACTTCCAGTAAGTCGGAAATACTAAGTTCTGAAGTTGAATGACTGCTGATACCAAGACGCAGGTCGGTGGAGTGGCCGCAACTCCATTTATCGGTCTACTTCTGGACAACCTCAGCACAGCGACAATGTTGGCAATCCTTGTCGCAATGATTACAGCAGTAGGTGTGCTCGGCTCGCTACCATTCCTGTGGGCCGCGTACATGAACGTGATTCTATTCGTTCTGCTAAGACCACTATACTACTCCGCAATGTCGTAAGTCTTTACCGCCCATGTGGTGATCGTCGGAAACCCCAAGCTAAAATCAAAAAAATTCAGCGATTACGCAGCAAAGGTCTTCGGCTTTGCAACTTTTGGCCGAGTTTACGGGACCATCATCTGCTTCAGCGGCATGATCAATTTAAGCCAGCCATTGATCGATGCCGCCAATTACGAACTTTTCCACAGCAACCCCATTCCCATCAATGTGATCCTGACCTCTCTCGGACTGGTCATTGGCACTGTGCTGGTAATTTTCGTCTGGGTGCAGGAAAAGCATATTTATAAAGGAGAGCGCGAAGTTCGCGAGGCGACAGAGCGTGATCGTCTAATCCCAGAAACCTCCGATGAAGAAGATGTTTAGATGGATTTTTGCCTTTGAGCGTTTAGCAAGCGAGAGATCGATGGTTTGATAGATAGAATTGTGATGGTGAGGAATCATTTGATGCATGGAGTAGAGGGTGTCGTCCATACAGTATCGACCAAGATCCTCCCTTCAAGCACGCTATAAATCATACATCAAAGCCACCATCCAGCGCAGAACTCCTCAAAAGACAAAAGATATTCTTAGCCCCGGTGGGTCCGTCGCTGGGCGTGTAGACCATCCTGCCATTGAAATTTCAAAAGTCTAGCGCACAAGACCCACGAGGCTCCGGTTCAGCCGTACCTGTATAAGGAAGACTTGGAATCTTCTCTTGCCCTTGGCCTCCAGACAATACGCAACAAAGGAGTGCTATGCTGGAGTCTTGGCTCAGCTTTCAAAACATACAGTACGTACATCGGTGGGTGACCTGAACTGGTTGCTGCGCTCAGCCGCACGTCGCACCATCTCTTTGCATGCGAAGGAAGAGTGGTTACTGGTATTGCGTGCGTGCTTGACTAACAGAATGTGGGTGTTTCGTTTCTTTTTCTTGTATCCTTCCACTCGTTTTCTTTGGAAAGAGAGGAATTTTTATTTTAAATTTTTTCCTTACTACTAGTAGGCACCATGGGTGAGAATTCTTGTATTGGTCTTTGCGGCCTTTGGGGCCTGCTTTTGCGACGATGTACGTACGACAAGTTGGAGGTAAGTGGAAGAGCGTGCGAAGACTTGAGAGATGTATACTCTCACATGTTGCAAGGTTCCTACAATACCACAGCGACATCGATCTCTCCGCAAATTCCGGCAAGTATTTCTACTACCGCCACGCCAACCCCTATAGATGCTGGAATCACGACGGACGATCTTAGTGGCGGTGTGGCGGCCTACACTCCACGCACAGAGCAGACGAATTCTGCTCTTGTTGAACCCGCATTCATGCCTGGTGGAACTGCGGATGATGACGATGTCCAGGCTGTCACGGAGCTGCAGCCGTCACCAGATGAGATACAGGTATCGACCGCACCCGATTTGGCGTCCATCATCCAGCAAGCAACGCCGAGTCCAAGTGCGCAGGACATACAGGAATTGGATGAGCAACCCGTCGGCACAACCTCGGCTGTAGTTGTGGATATCATCGCCAGCGTGATTGGAATCGTGCCGCAAGAGAGCGATGTGCAACGGGACGCAACGCGCGTCGATGCAGCAACGCAAGCGCAGCAACAAGGACAGTTTACTCCCGCGCCAGCAGTGATCCCTGTGGGCGAAAGTGCTGTGACTGCAAATGATGCGTCTGAGTTTGTCATTGGGTCCCAGACAGTAGCGCCAGGCGATGAGGTTATCACAGAAGGCGGGAACACAATCTCTCAATCGCACCTGCTGCGACTGCGGTGGTCATCAATGGCAATACATCTCCAATTGAGCAGCCGCAGCAGCAAACTGCAGCTCCTCAAATTACTGTTGGAGATACCGTGGTTACTGCCGGTGGCTCCTCGTACTTCGTTGTTGGTTCGCAGACATTGACTCCGGGAGGTGCTGAAATAACCGTCGATGGCAACACATTATCACTGGCACCGTCTGCCGATGTAGTCGTGATCAATGGCATAACAAGCGAGATTCAGCAACTACAAGCTCAGCAGACTCCGGCACCGCAAATAACGATTGTGGGCAGCATTATTACCGCGGATTCTGTTTCTGCATTCGTTGTCGGCTCGCAGACGCTGGCTCCGGGAGGTCCAGCTATTGTCGTCGACGGCATGACGCTTTCGCTCGCTCCACTGGGCAGCGCTCTCGTAGCCGATGGACAGTCCTCGAACATCGCAGTACCAGTTGGAGCTCCTGTAACAATTGCGGGCGAAGCGGCGACGCCAATCGCTTCCGACGCATTCGTTCTACCTAATGGCGAGACCTTGTCAGTTGGTGCGACTGCCGTGGTACTTGATGGCGCAACGCTCTCGCTTGCTCCAGATGGCAATGTAGTTATCAATGGCGTCACATCGTCTCTTCCGGCCACTGGCAGCACTATCATGAGCGGAACAGATGAGCGGGGTGCTTTGATCCTACACGGTACAATATTGCTTGCTGGTTCTAGTGTTGCAATTTCGGGCACCACGTATTCATTGCCCTCGACAGGCGGCGCCATCTTCATCAATGACCAATCAACGAGTCTGCCCGCAGCTTCTCCGGGCTCACCGATAACGCTTGGGGATGGTGTTGTGGCCACGCCTACCGTGCTGCCCGAGCTCGTCATTGGAGGTCAAACTTTGGTGGAAGGTGGCTCAGCGATAACTATATCAGGCACGACGTACTCTGCCAGCGGGACGCAAGTTGTAGTAGTGGGCTCAGGACGCACTATAATTGAGGATGTCGAAGATCTTATGACTGCTTCAGAAATGCCGTCCCAGTGCGGCATCAAGCATGGGAAATCGTCCTGCTGAGACAAGCTCGAGCAGCGACGCGTTTCAAGTCATGTCCAGGAGCGCGTTCTTCATCGCAATGCTTGTCGTCTGCTTGTTATGCTGAGCGCCAAGAAGGCTGGGCCATGGTAATGATTGAAATTTGGTGATGGTGGCACAGCAGAAATGATAGGTAGAGTAATTGATAGATCTGATGTCGAGTCAGCACCTTGACTCGATCTTGGTGTACAATAGATCGGAATGAAGACGAGATGTTCAGACTTTGCCTTTTCTCCTCATGCCCAACCAGCTTCTGCCGAAGCAGGTGTATGGCAAGCGGCTGGGCAGAATTGGTTTACCAGATGAAAGCTCAAAATTGTATCATCATGAAAGAGGAGATGCAAGATGGGATGCGAATGGCTCACCATGCTATTGAGATGGTCAATGTCATTCTTACTGGGTGCCTCGAATATAGGCGGCTGGGATGTTCCATCTTTTAGGTCGTCAACGCATCATGGGCGCCGTCCCGAAGGACTACCCTCGTGATGACGGTTTTATAAGCGGCGTTTCACTCTCGGCCACGCTTCGGAATCGCCAACACCATGAGAATGGTCGTAGAGCCGGGCAGTGACGATGATTTGAGTATGGTGGTCTCGTTTTGGTAGGGAGAAAAAGAAGAAGGGAGGAATTTCGCAGGAGAAGTGGAAGCGAAAGCGCCTGCTAGCGCCGAGTCCGAGCGTCTCGTCTGGTGTCGAATGCCGAGCTTTTCCCGTGGCCTCAGGAAAGAGCCTAATACTCCAAGTCTACAACTCTCCAGCCTTTGCAATACTCTCCGCTGACCATCCACACCCATTACTCACGCCCATTACTCGCACAATATCAACATCGCCCTCGCACTTTCGCCAGCAAGCCACCACAACCATCGGGAGTCCGCATCCTTCGTCCGCCTCTCTCTACCCGTTTGCGGGACACATGTGCCTGTCCGAGTGATTATCGATAGATTGACGAACCCTTTTCAATGGCCAACAACACCGACAGCAGCCCATCGACTCTTTGGAACCGTAGATCAAAGTGCGTCTCGAATCATACCCCTCCTAACTCCTGCTTTCCCCCAGCTAACCCTTGCACGCGAGCAATAGCACGAACAGCAAATTGAACCTTTCCACGAAATCCGACAGTCGCGAAACCCACGACCACCCGTCTGCACGGCGATTCAACTCTTCTAGTGGGAGTATTAAGAACAATCCTTTCTCTCCCGGGTCGGTCGCTTCGCCCACCAGCACAGGATCCTCTGCCTTTGGCCTAGGAGGTGGTGCTTTCAGTTTCGGCAGCGCAAAGACCCCAAAGACGCCTGGCGCGACTTTCGACATAGGGAAAGTAAGTGGCGAAAAGAAGGACTCCTTGGAGGAGGACAAGAAAGACAGCAGAAGACCTCCACCGTCGCGCAAATCGCAATCGAATACTAGAGCTCCTAACTCTATCCCGGAGGCAGGGAGTGCCTCTTCCAAAGCGCCGGTCGAAGAGCTGCCTCTGAAAGACACCTGGGTGGTATACTATCGGCCTCCGACAAGCAAAAATAGCGACTACGAAAAGTCGATACAGCCACTTTGTAAGATTCATACCGTGCAGGCATTCTGGAAAGTATACACGCACCTGCAGCGACCAAGCAAACTCCCCACGGTCAGCGACTACCACCTTTTCAAGGCGGGAATAAGACCGGTATGGGAGGACGACAGCAATAAGAAGGGAGGGAAATGGACCATGCGGCTCAAAAAGGGTGTGGCGGACCGGTATTGGGAGGAGTTATTCATGGCTCTCATTGGCGACCAGTTCATGGAAGCCGGTGAAGAGGTGTGCGGCGCCGTGGTCAGTGTGAGATCTGGCGAAGACGTCATTTCGGTGTGGACCAAGAACGACGGCGGGCGCAACGTGAAGATCCGTGAAACGATCAAGCGTGTGCTTTCACTGCCCCCGGACACGAACCTCCAATGGCGGAGTCACGATGAAAGCATTGTCCAGCGCGATCAAGTGGACAAGGCAAGGCAAGAAAAGCGCCGTAACACGATGCAAGCGGAGAAGAAGGAGGATGACGATAATAAGTCATAGGAGGACGATCTGATGGCAGCTCAGGCGGTCGTGAGAACTCGTGGGTTTGAAGCATGGCATTCGTTTTGGAACCTTCCAACTTGGCGGCCGCAAAACGAATGATTGGAATGGCATATGCTTGTGAGCGGCCTGGGCGGCGCTTCGTTTAGCAACCGTGGTGCTATTCATGGAATTCTGCATTACAGCGCGTTATTGGGTTGTTACAGCGTCTGATCTCGCAGAGCGTGTATACTACTACTCTCACTGGCTTGGACTACTGCATTGTTTTGAATAGCGAAATCCGGAGAGGCCATGAATGGTGCCTCGAGCACTCATGTTGATGCAATGAGATGCTCTTATATGAAAGCTTCCGACTATCTCACTCCTGCCCGATGCCTTTCAAGTCCGTTCATGTCGATCAAGTAGCCTCAGCCTGACGATGGAGGAAAGGGCTCGTGAACGCTGTGCAGGGTCAGAAGAATGCTATGACTGTAGCCTCAGCCTAATGATGGGGGAAAGGGTAGGGATCGTGAACGCTGTGCCGGGATACCACAGATGCACCTCGATATTAATAAAGAAAGTAGGTGAAACTGGTGGCGGACAGAAGTCAAAGACAAAAAAGCTTGGTGGGGCACTCGGACCTCAGTTCGTTGCACAACGCGTAAAGAGCTCGCTTTTGCCTGCGGAATCTCCACCACGCTTCACTCGGATCACACTCACACTCACTGACTCTGTCTGTGCCATGTTCGACACACCATCACATGCTCGACGCGATCCGCCACCAACAACGCGCGACTACAGCGCCGCAACAGATAACCTCTCAATGAATGGCAAGCATCTGGAACTCTTTTATTAGGAGCTTGGTCCCTGGAGGCTTCTCGACACAGCAGGAAGGAGGGCATGTGGAACATCATACTGTAAGCTATACAAATATGCCGTGTTTCTATTCCACTTATTTTGAGCGGCGACGTCAGATACAGTCGAGGGGTTATTTGGCTTACTTGACATCTCAGAATACCACTAATACCAATGCGGCGCGAAGTGCGAGTGTCGAGGAAGTTACGAGTGCAAGAGGGAGTCCGCAGAGAAAGAGGATAAGATTGAGTGGCAGCGAGAGGCACTTATTAGGAGACTATACGGTTCATGCCTCTGGCGCGACTGCTTTTGCGCCCGTGCCTGCCACGAGAGAACAGAACGCTGCGGAAGTTGAGGCAAGGCGCAGAGCGAGCGATATGGGTGCACCATATAAGCCGAGAGGAGGTGTGCAGCCCTCGAATACGCTTGGGGATAGGACGAAGCAGGCCAAAGGCGGAATCTTTAGTACTGACGCACACTCACGGCCGACCATGCGAGGACTTGATATCGCAGCGAGTCGAGGAGGCAATGTCAAGCGAAAAGGATTCCCGGACGATGATGAGGATCAGGTATTGCAGCCAAATACGAAGAACCGTCGACTCGAGAACAATGCACCGCCTACGCCCAGGTCGGTCGATCTGACCGGCGATGATGAGGATCTTACTATGGGCAAAGTGGTGGGAGTTGCCTCTCGGAAGCCAGTCAAAGCTTCATCTGGCAGCCACGAGCCGAGGCATGCTGGTCAACCACAGCAGCACAGGCAGTCAAGCCAGATGGACATATTCGGCAACAATCAAATGCAAAACGTCGACGCCTTGATCCGAACGGGCCGACGAGGAAGTACTGCTCGCCAAGAATGGAACACAGCACGAAACGGAATCAATCACGGATCAACAGGTCCTCGTGCTGCTGACGATCTTCGTCGGAGGCAGCACGGTACCAGAGATCTACCGCAGGAGATCGAGGATGACTCGCAACCAAGGATGAATGGGTACAAAAAAGCCACGCCGATGAGACAACCATGGACAGCGCAGTCCAAGGCAATTATACCAATCGATCTCGACCCTGGCGTCTTTGACGATGGAGTGCGCCAATATCAGGAGCAACAGCGTGAGAATGGGCAAGGCGGAACTCGAGATATGCAAGATGTTACTAGCGTCTTCCAGAACAAAAGCCATAGGGCCGGCTCGAGTCCAACGAGACGATCTGCCGCTCCCAGGACTATCCAGCAGCCTCTGTCAAATGAGGACTTCAGAACTCACGCCAATGGCGCGCCCGAACGGCGGCCAGGAGCTGCCACAAGACTCGCAGACCAGTTTCAGCGAGACACTGGAGACCCTGCAGGCATCACCAAAGTCCCGGGCAGGACCAAGGCCTCAGAAAGAATGCAGACCCATGCTCGACCAGGCAGTAGTGGAGAAGGCAGCGTGGACGAGCTTCAAGGCGAGCGAACTGTGCCTGCTCGCAGCTCGCGCAGTATATCACCCCAAAAACAGAAGCCTTTCAAGCAACCCACGATGACAAATGGCACCGGTTTGAAGCGGAAGATTGGTCCCGCTGAAACACAACTTACGAACATTCACGCGAAGCGTCCCAAGCCTAAACGGGACTATCAAGCACCACCCTCCGACGTACAGGAGGATGACGATGATTTCGAAAGAATACCAGTCAGTGCTATATACTGCAAGGCATATGCGGGCGAGGAAAAGCAGCTTGAGCTTGTCTGGGACGAGGATTCCAAAGCATACTGTGTCGAACTGAACAAAGAGCCAATCCGAGTGCCTAACACCAATCGGCCGATCAGAATTGCTTGCAAGGATTTCATCCAGTGCTTATTCTGCGAGCGGGCCTCCTACTTGGGAGTGCAGCTGAAAGGTTCGAGCAGCGAAGTCAGCACTGGCAGCATCATCATTGTTTTCGAGGATAGACGCGGTTTAGATGACTTCCGACACGACTTGGCCTTTACCAATGCACGGATCAGGTTCAGCCCTTCGACCATTGCTATGATGGAGGCAATTGTGGAGAGACAGGCGCAAGAGCAAAAGAAGGCGTTCGAGAAAGCGAGCACTCGATTGCCGCCGATGGCTCTCGGCAATGTTCCGTCCCGACGCAGGCACCCGCCGCAAAGTCCCGCTCAACCTGCCGACGACGAAGAAGAAGAAATCGTATTCGAGAAGCACGGTGAGGATGACAACATGGCTACTGCGCTTCTGAAGGACAACTATCAGAAAGCGCGGCCGCGTGGCCCAGCAGCAGATCACACGGCATCACCATACTTCGATCCTAATCCGCCGCGTCGTTCCACAAGAGAGCGTAGACCTGTTGTGAAGGCACGAAGCCCAACCCCCGTCCCGGTCGAGAAATGGACGGAAAATAACGACACGAGTTTCTGGGTACACGAGATGACGTGGCCTGAGAAGGGAAAGAACCGCGTGTCGCTGGTTGCCAAGGACCTTCAGAAACTCGATGACAATGAGATGCTCAACGACAACATTATCAATTTCGGGCTGCGGTACACTGAAGAATTCATCAGGCCAGAATTCAAGGACAAGGTGTATTGGTTCAACACTTACCTTTACGCTGCGCTCACTAAAGGACCGAGGGGACAAGGCATCAATTACGCCGGGGTCGAGCGATGGACAAAAAATGTGGATCTCTTCACCAAGCCCTTCATCGTCGTACCCATCAACCTCAATTTGCACTGGTTCGTTGCGATTATCTGCAATTTGCCTAATCTTCAGAGAAAGTTTGCAGACTCAGATCCAGTCGACCCAGTCGCGCCATCTTCTCAGCCAGCGACTCAGGAAGAGGATGAATGGAAAGGAATCCAGCCTCCCGATCAGGAGATGACCGAACTTGCGCTCTCCGATGCTGACGTAGATTCAAAATCATTATCGAACGATGAGAAGGGTGTAGACAGCGGAATTTTCGAGTTTGGCGATGATGGAAAGGTCGTCGGCGCCGATGACGAGAATGAGCAGCAAGGCACTGGTGCAAATCACGGTCGTGGTCGAAAAAAGAAGAAAGCACCTCCAGGTCCACGCAAAGTCGACCCAACCACGCCTATCATTCTCACCTTCGACTCTTTCGGCGTCAGTCGCTCCAAAGAGATCAAGGTTTTGAAAGAGTACCTTGTCCTGGAGGCTAGAACGAAACGCAACATGGAGCTCAACCTTGCCCAGATTCCACAAATGGCGGCCAAGGGAATACCTGGTCAGAAGAATTTCTCAGACTGCGGAATCTACCTGCTTGGTTATATCGAGAAGTTTGCGCAGAATCCAGACGAATTTGTACGGAGGCTTCTGCAGTTCGAGATGCGGGAAGAAGATTTTGATTTTGACCCTTCTCAAAAGCGCGTTGACATTCGAAACACGCTTCTGGAACTGAGCCACCAGAATGAAGCAAATGTCTACAAGGCCAAGAAGGCGAAACAAGATGCGAAGAAAAGAGCGAGTGGAGCCAGTGCACAGAAGACATGTGGCACAGAAGGGCCATCGCCAGCTCGGCAGAAGACTCCCACTCCAGCGCAAACGCCGGGCAACGAGGCAGCACGATCACGGCAGCAAACGCCGGCGCCAGCGGTCGAAAAGGCAAGAGTAAAAGCATCGAGGCGTGATGCGAAAGAAGCTGCCACCAATGCCTATCCGACCAGCCAGACCTTCAGCGCTGAGGATGAAGAGTTGCCCATATCGCCACCTCGAGTGGCCGGCGGTCGCCCTGAAAAGCCGTCCAATGCGACTGACACAAACACATTTGCTGAAGATCAAGCCTACGGCGACGATTCTGAGGAGATGCTGGACAATGGAGACACCATTCATGTATCAGACAAGCGACAAAGTAGCCTTGCTCATCAGCCAACGTCGCAAGCAGACCGGGAATCTGCAAGTCCTGTTGGCGTCGTGCAGGCTTCCGCTGAGGCTTCCGTTGTGATTGACGAATCTCTCCAGGATGGCGAACCTGAAGACAACGCTCTCTCGCCCGAGGACATGTCCAGTGCTCGGCAAGAGCAGGCCGACGACGGACCGGATGTGATTGATATTGGAGACGAGGACGACGACAGACCTGTCTATTCTCCAGAGATCCCAGACTCGCAGCCAACGCAGGGAACACAAGCGACTCAAGGCGTTCCACTTCCTGTGAGGACTTCAAAGGGGAAGGAATACTACGCACTTGATTGATCTTTTGACTGCTTTTGAGGCATTTCAGCGAGCGACAGACTAGCCAGCCCAGAGTGGCGAGGCTGGCGTAATGCGGAACCATGGCTTTGACGAGAGACGAAAACATAGCCATGACAGCGAGAGCTCTATCGATATCAATTAACCCATATATGATCCATCCATCCCACAACGCCACGCTTCACCCAAACTCTTGCTCTAACATTTACACAGCAGCCCTGAGACTCTTCTCCTGCTCCTCCTTCAAAGCATTACTAATACATCCATTCACTCCACGTCCTCTCGTCCCATCCTTTTCAGCATTCGCAACAGCTTCATCAACCTCTGCGAACAACAAAAGTCAGCCTTTGTCGCATACACTGACCAATTCTCAAATGTAAGCCGTACATGTACCTACCAGTATAATCCTCCCTCTCCACTCCCCCACCCACCCAAAATCTCATCTTTTCCTTCTTAAATTCTTCGAAATCCCATTCCTCCTCTTCTAATTCTTCGCGTGGCGAGATCCAGATATAAGTTTCACAGTCTTTTTCTTCGTTCCTAAATGAAAAAATCCATTAGCTTCAGCTTCCCATCCCAGGGCACGAAACGCTCACCCATGTTCGGAAATCACTTGACATCTCACTCCTCTCCTTTCGTACTCCCTCCCCTCGAATATATCCAATCTCCATAAATCTCCGTCTGTGAGGCCGGAGACGTACGTTCCGAGGACGGAATCTTGGGGGTTGGAGGACGGGAGGATCGCAGGGTAGTCGGCACCTTTTACGCGGTGGCGACGGTGGGCGTATAAGAGGGCTGGGAGTGTGGTGAGGTTGAATGTTGGAGGGAGGGAGGTTGGGTGGGAGCCGTGGCAGACGCGGTGCAGGACTTGGGGGGCCATGAGGGTTCCGTAGAAGAAGGCGGAGTGGGGACCTAGGGGTTGGGTTTGGGGTTGGGGTTGGGAGGTGGAGGTGGGCATTTTGGGTTGACTTCTATCTCCTACTCGGATAGGTTGAGTTGCCTCTTCGCGAGTGTCCAGACAGATAGATGTATGGGCTGTGGAATTTTGTTTTCTGGGTTTGAATTGTCTTGCTTGCCTGTTTCTCTTGGTCCGGGGAGTTCTTTGGCACTGGAAATGGGTTATGGGTGTACTATATGTGTCTTGTCTTGCAATCTGCTTGCGACAAGACATTTCATCGTTGTTATCGCCGACATCGTTTGAACCAGGCCGCCCGCCAAGCCACAGATTTCTGCCTGAGCTTTCGGGCCGCGAACGCCACAAAGATTGCACCGCAGTGCAGTGCTCCTTTACGAAATTCATCAAGACGTGTTGATCATCTCGACTTTTCTCCTTCGATTCATTTCATTGCGAGAACTTCATCACGGCATTGAAGAAGACTTCTTCCGCGTTCTATTTTGATCGAGATAGACGACCGCGAGATGCTTTCGTAAGATCCGATCGGATTGGAAGACTACGACCGTCATTCCTTCCGCGTGCTCCCGGCTCTGCAGGTCCTTGCGACTTCACTGCACTCTTCGTAAGTCTCCTACAATCGACATCCTGTTCTTCGCTCGACCGGGAGTCTGGCACATCGCGGGGAGAAACGGTCATATCCACCATGGCCTCTCCACCTCAACATGATCAGTCCTTGGCGAAGCTGGCCTTGCCCCAAATAGAACTAAGCTTTGCGATACCCACTAGCTTGGAAGAGCAAGATTCCTCTTTTCGAACCCTGTCACATGCCCAATCGCTAACGTATCTGCAGAGCCATGTCGTTGGTGAAATGGGCAGTCACGCACATCGCACCTGTCTTCCTCGTCACATCGCCAGTCACTTCCTACGCAGACCAGATATGGTCTATGCACAAGCGCCGATCGTCGGCAGGCTTCTCACTGGACGTACCATTGATCATGCTGGTAGCTTCGATACTGAAGTATGTGGAGCGCAAGAGTAGTCATGAGCTTCTGTGGGCCCCAAGACTGACCAAATTCCCTAGAGTCTTCTTCTGGTTTGGTGACCGCTACGACTTTCCGCTCTTGATTCAGGCGGGCATCATGATTTTTGTCCAGCTGCTTCTGCTTCGCGTCGCGTTGCTCTATCGGCCACCTTTTGGAGCTCAGCATAGTCTCAGCAGGCCGTTTCAAGGAGCAGACCACACCGATGGCGGCATCCCGAGACCATATAATTTCTGGCAATGGCGCCCGCAGAAGCCATACTGGCAGTTCATTCTCTACTACACTGCAGTCTTGGCAGCACTGCAGCTGCTCATTGGAAGCAACACTGCGTACATTGCTCTACAGGGATACGTTGCGCTATCCGTGGAGGCCATTTTACCCATCCCGCAGATTTTGGAGAATGAACGACTTCGATCTTGCAAAGGCTTTCGATTCAGCGTCTTGATCAACTGGTTGGTGGGAGATGCGTTCAAGATGACTTACTTCTTCCTCTCTGAAGGAAGTGTTCCCTGGGCATTCAAACTGTGCGGCATCTTCCAAGCCGCCTGTGATTGCTACCTCGGCGTGCAGTATTGGATGTATGGTGAAGGCGATCCAGCAGCAACCTTAGAAATGGCCGAGAAGAATACCAGGATAGCTTAAAGGAGAACAGTCCCATAATTCAGCCTTTTTCTTTTTCTGATTCCTTCTCTGGCATTCGGTGGACCTGCACTTCTTTCATTGAAATATGGCTGCTATGGATCTTTTCACCAGATGGATTGTCCTCCCAAATAATTATTGATTCCCCAGACTCGGTAAGTTTGCCTTCTATTTGGTACCCGTATGCGCTTCCGAAGCTCTCATTCTCCAGCAACGCGGGCCGATGTATTCGATATTTTTCTCTTTTCGTTGGATTTCGCCATGTTCAATACAATTGTCCTCATTTATCCCACGTCGAAAATGGGCGCTGCTGCGATGTTCCTCTCGCAAGTCTGACACGTATTGCTCGATCAGGCTGCGCTAGCACCTTGAGTCCGCGGCACTCTCTCTCACTTCGAGGTGCGAAGAAGCAGCACATTTACAGAAGTCACAGCTCATGATAAGTACTTCACAGTCTCGTCTCTTTCTGCGATCCGTGTGATCTCGACAACTCGCCGTCTTGCTAAAAGTAACCACTGCGGACCTTCACGGAAGGCCTACTAAAATCTTCTAACCACGTCTCCCCACACGCGAATTTGGTCAACCAGCGAGGAAAATCGTCATCCACGCCATCAGTCGGGGTTGGTCGTCCAATACAGTTCTCTTTGCAGTTAGATAAGACGCTTGACAGAGTACATTATCCGTCGCTCCTGATTCTCGGTCTCCATCTGCTTACCTTCATTGACAGACAAGTCGACGCTCTTGTTCAGTTGCAACCGCTCGAACATCATCTCTCGTCCAAAGGTACGCGACCACTCTTATCACGATTGGAGTCCACATCACTGGCACTGCTTGAGGTTTAACTCATCCGGTTGACCACTATGGCTTCACGATCTTGTCTGACAACGCATAACAGAACAAAGCCTCGGCGTCGACTGTCAGATTCTCAGCCTTGTGCAGCTTGGCAATATTGAAAGGGTCTGCGTAAGTAAGCGAGAAGCAAGGGTCAGTCAATCAGGTTCAACAATTTCTAAGACACCTTCCTTTAACAGTATGTATGACAGGTGGCCTATCACGAGATGGATCATCATTCAGGCCAGCTTATGGCCGCTATGGACGCGGCCTACCAGGACATGGGCATTACCGAGCAGGAGCAGGAGCAACAACAGGAACAACAGCAAGTCGATGGCGATGGCAATGGCATGCCTGACTTCGGCTCGATGCAGCTCGTGCCATACTACACAGCTGAAGAAGAGATGGTCGAGCAGCAACATCAAATGGACATCGTTGTTATGCAACATCAGCAGCAACAGCAATATGAAGCAGCGACGGCCGCGAATATGAGCTTGGCAATCAGCATGAACGCTCAATCTGCGGTTGGCTTTCCACAGCAAGGCTACGTGCAATCGCTCACGCCTCTTGCCCAGGATGCTGCGTCCAATCATGGCTGGCATTATGTGGATGCTCAGGCTCAGGCTGCTGCTGCTCAGATGGCGGCAAATGGGATGGGTCAGGCCAGGAATCCTGCATCGATGATGATGGTGCAATTTGGTACGTCTTTTCAACTTCATCGCACTCCTCTTGCACCATACCCTCTGCCTGCCTTGTGGAGTGAATTTCTTGGAAAGTGCGTGTCGGCGGCCTTGGGTCGACTTGCTTCGATGTCCTCGCGCTTGCCGGGGGTTTGTCCTGGGATCAATGTGTGTTTTCCAATCTGGACGTCGCTTCGCTTCGCAAAGACCATCAAAACCAATATCCGCATAGCTTCTTTACTCCAAGGTCCGGTGGCCATGGACGACTTCTTGTGCGAGAATTGCAGCGTGCCCTAGGGAGCGTGCGATTGCAACAGAGCGGCGATGCATGCCGAATTGTCCACCTTCCTGCACACGATTGCGATTGCGGACGGCCACGATCCAGCCTTGTCTCAATTACCATCACCTGGCACGGAACCATCTGCCGTCTCTTTACTCGGACGGATTCGAGCCCAAGCGCGGCCATTCGTATCTCCTGGCCAGTTGAATGAATACAACGCGTCGGTCAAGCGTGTGGTGGGTTATGGCGCACCGCAATCAGAAGACGGGCAAAACGTGGGCCATGGCAAGTGCGGATCTGGAGCCCTGACCACTTTTCCCTGCACGTGCACGTGCCCTAGTTCTTGTGGCCGAGGTCGGGCATGCCCCACTCGGAGCGAAGAATCTAATCAGATCATCTCCCCGTCGCTGTCGCTGTTCGCCGAACCACACTCGTCCTCCGCCATGGCTTCGCCGCAGAGTGCTAACAATGACATCGCAGGCAGCATCGAGCAAGCACAGCATCCCGCCGCTGAATGGTCTCACCAGGACGGCCAGCAGGCGCCAGCATCGCAACAGGCGCTCGTTGCCACACATTCGAGAATAAACAGCACCGGCGCCGTGCAGAAAGTGCCTATCCATCGGGAATCCGCTCGAAGAGACTCCCGGCGCTCGTCAGGTAGCCCGGGTGCGCAGACGGAGAAGGAGGGAGCCATGACTGTGCCTGCAACTGGCCCCATGAGCTTGAATGTTACTATTAAAGCCCGTCCCAAGCCTGGCAGGAAGCCAATTCCACACGAAGATGCCCAAGACAGAAGGCGGGTGCAGAACCGCGTGGCACAGCGCAACTTCCGAGACAAGCGACAGCAGAAGCTGCAAGATACCCTCGACGAGTTGGCTGCTCGCAAAGCGGAGTATGAAGCCTCGGTCAGCGAATACCAGCGCCAGATTGATTCTCTCACGCAGCAGCACAACCACGTGCAGTCGCAACTGCGAGCCGCTGTCGAACAGACACGAGCAGAGACCCTCCGTGCTACTACCGCGGAAGAGCGTGCCAGGGTGCTCGAAGCTCAAGTTGCGCAGTATCAGGAACGCACCCGCACTTCTATCCAGGCCGGAAGTGCCGCCATCAGCGGACCCGGTAAGTAAATTCATTACTGAGGATATGACGGGGAGCAGATATCGACATTGTTTCATGAGCGTCGGCGTTTTGTGCTATGATGTTGGAGATACCCAGGCATATGGGGGGGGGACTGGCGTTTGTGGAAAATTATTATCACTATTGAGTATCGTGTCAATAACGCACACGGGATGAACAGATTATTGGATAATGCTGAAATATGTCAACGTTCAACGCGTGCGAAGGGGCTCATCGTGGTATGGTGTGCTGACCATATTATTTTCAGGTTCAATCGGCGGCTTTCGCGCCATCAGCAGCAAACAAACCCCCAATGCGGTGACCGAAACACCCGGAGAAGCTGATGCCGGCCCTTCGCCACCAGCCTCAGAAGGAGACCAACCTTATGAAATTGACTTTACCAACTATGGCCGAAGTACTCAAGCTCCAAGCAATTACGGGCTCCGCGTGTCGACCGGCAATGACAGCAACGAAATGGATTTCAGCTTCGATCGCAGCGATGACAAGTGTGGCTTCTGCACAGATGACCAGAACTGTGCTTGTAAGCAGGAGAAGGTTGTCGAGGCACCGATTGTTGTCAGATCCGTCACGCTTCCCGGCAGCTGTGACATGTGTCGTACCGACCCTGTTCGTGCTCAGGCATGTCGAGATATGGCACGGTCGACAAACATGTCTGCTCAAACGCCAGTAACGACTCCAACCTCCGACACACCACGCACATCTATCTTCGACAACCGGACAGGGCTGACAGCTATGATGCCGCCACCTCGAATGTCTTGTTCGTCAATGGTCGATGCTTTCAACAAGTTTGGCGAGCGCACCTCTTCCATTGCCAGTCTTTTTGGTGGCAAGGCGCTCACGGCATATCCAGCGGCTACCGGTGGTTACGAGTTTGAAGAAACTCAGGCTGCGGAAGTTCTCTCCACCCTCTCCCGTCGCAGCACGATGGCAGAATCTCCTCAGCCGGACGATGGCAGGCGTCCCAGTACAAAGACGAGCTGACATGCCGGAAATTAACGTCAAGCTTCATATAGAGGACCGAATTAGTTTTCTGTAGGTAATGGGCATGCGCGGGTACGGCGGGTACCTTCTTTCGGTCCAGGCAGGGCCTTGAAGAATGGCAAGACGTTCTAGATCTTTATTACAGCGAATCGAATTTCTTCGCTGATGTAACGAATGATGAGATGGGGTTCTGCTCGCTGTGCTGCTGCTGCGTTCAGTTCTTTCAAAGCTGTGCTGTCAGGTTGAACGGCTAGGGCGAACATGAAAGCCCGACGGATGAAGTCCATGTAGATAGAGGGAATGGTGCTTCATGTCTTATCATGCAAAACTTATGACCTGACCAGATACGTGGACACTCTTTGGAAGCTTCATTTAGAAGCGTGTCATGACCTGCACCATCAATCGCGAAGGATCGCATCGCATCCTCCAGACTCTCGTACTCGTCAGCTCGGCAGCTTCCGCGGATTCTCTCCTTCCTTCCACGGAGCTGAAGCTGAAGCTGAAGCTGAAGCAAGGTGTTCACCAATCCTTTATACTTTGCTGGTGAACTAATCATGGAACTCAAGCCTCCTCATCAAGGGTCGTGTTCTGGTTCATTGATGCAATGCATGGAAACGGTACGGTATCAGCTTCTTCGATTCGTGGTAGTGGTACTCCTAGTAACGCCGGTTTCATTTGGCTGGGTGTGCGTTCGAACACGCAGCAATGAGGCGCCAAAAGGATCATTTTGCGGTCGGTCAACACTGTAATAATGGTAACGGTGGCTCTCTGATGGAGATAGGAAGGTTTGGAGCTGAGGATGCGAAACTCGCTCAGTCGTCCGAAAGACTATATGCGAATCCAGTAACGAACGCGAGCGTCACTACTGTCACGGGCAGCATGACATGACATGAGATGCTCCCATCCGACTGCGCACCTGCAGGTACGAAGTGTCTTGATCCATTTCGGCCGATATGGGCTTTTCGTCCGGCCCCAAGACCAGTCAGCTGGTGGCCTTCGGAGCTTCGCTGGCACACGCTGCGCCGGGCTGTGGAGCACATCAAGGCTTGTGTCCAGCAGGATCGCTCCCATTCTATTGCTCCACGTGAGACGCTTACTCACCGTGCCGTGCAGCATGGATCTTCGACCCGTCGATCACGGTCAGTGTTGAGCCCGTCCCTCCCGCTCTATTCTATGTTATGACCAAGCGTGCAGCCTACGGTACTAGACACACTCTGCCGCACGCCCCTGTCCGTCGAACAAAACGGTCCAGGTTCGCGAGAAGCATGTCATACGCCCTTTTGTATCCGACTCCTGCTCAGAAGCCATTGCTGTCCATATCCAACACCAGGTCGTCTGGAAGGTAATCTCCGATCCTTCACCGGTTCCGGACCTCAGCGTTCCCTTTATCCAGTATATGTAACCTTGAGGCCAGTACAAGCGCCACGGTTCCTTCCATCTCATCTGTTCACAAAATGTCTCCCTCAGAGAAGCCATCACGACATGTCTGCCCAGACTGCGGCAGGAGCTATAAGGCTGCCGAGACCTTGAACAGGCATAGGAAGAACCATTCCGACACTACGGCCTATACTTGCGACATATGCCATGCGTCCTTCAAAAGAAAAGACCTCTTGGATCGTCACTCCAACATTCACTCCAATGGCAGACAACCGACGAGTCGAAACCGAAGCCAGCGCGCCTGTGACAGATGCTCTAGGTTGAAGACCAGATGCGACAACCTCGTCCCTTGCACTAGGTGTACTCGTGGCGGCCATGCATGCACCTACCGCCTCAAGAGTTGCCGAGCCAGGACTGATCGCTCTTCGACAGCCAGCATCGATACAATGCCAAGCAGCCGGTCCAGCGTTGACCTTCCCGGAGCACCTGCCATGTTTCAGCAACCTCGAATTCAGGTCCAAGAAGACTGGCCCGGTCTTTGGCAGGAAAGTAATATCTGGAGCTGGCCAGAGGTGGAGACAGACCCATCCCTACAAAGACCTCCCACGCTCGTGCCCACCTCAGCATGCGCCGTACAACCCACTCTCTCGCCCTGGACAGGAGAGATCGACCCCATGTTGATGGAAGCATCTCTGCTCTCGCCTTTTCAAAGCGTAGACTCAGACCCTGGCAGCCCTTGCAGTGGTTCATCCATCGATCAATGGACATCAGCAGACCTCCATCCAGCACTAACGTCCACCGCCTTCGACGACATGGACCTCTCGCCCGCCATCACCCCTTTCCAACCATCCCTCTACCTCCCTCCACAATTCGACTACAAATCTCTCCCCGAACCAGCATGTGAAACGCAGAACATACCACAACAACAACAACAACAAACCCTCATCACTGAACTCGCGACTGTCGCTTCAAACTTCTCCTCGCCTTTCACAGCTCGCTCACACCTCTGGTCCACCGCTGCGAAAACCAGTCGGACAAATTTTCACCATCCTTGACATTCCACCAACAAACACTTCACCCCACTCAGAGGGGGGGGGGGGGGGGGGGTTTGAAAACAACAATTCCTCAGGTTTGGGGAGGAGGAAGAAGAAAATCCTTAAAGGAGCTTAGACCCCAAAGGGGGCGGGGAATTTTCCGGGGAGGGGGCACCGAAAAAAACTTTTTGGAATTTGGGGGGAAGGGAAGGGTTTTTTTTTTTTATAAATGGGAAAATTCCCCCAGCGGGGGGGGGAGAAAAAGGGCCCAAAATTTGGAAAACCTTTAAAATGGGGGGAAAAAAAACCCCATGGAGGGATGGCCCAATCCCAAATCCCCCCCAAAAAGCCCGAAAATTGATGAAACCTACTATTATTCCCCCTTCTAAGCCCCTATGCAACTCACCCCCAAAAAGGCTCCCCCTTCCTCCCCCTTTACATAGCCTCTTTCTGCGGGGGAATAAACACAAAAATCCACCTCTCGAACCCCTTCAAAAAAAAAAGATTTTGGGAAGGAATCCGAGCCCCAATTTCCCGGTTTGAAATGG